GCAACGTTGTTGCATATCGTTCCAGGATCAGCAGTCCGCGCAGGCGACCGAAGCTGGCGGCTTTCGTTCCCCTACCCGCTCGAAACTGCTTAGTTAGAAAGAGAAGGTCACAAAATTCATGCTCGGGCTTTCCCACCTTTTCTGTGATGTTTGGGGCTTTTTTGAGCATGCTTAAAAAAGCTCAAAAACGTCACAAAAAAGGCGGGAAAGCCAAGAACACGGGTTTTGTGACCTTGTCTTTCTAGATGAGTGAAAATCGGACCAATCGAGAGCAATTTTGTTGCGTGAAAAACGCAGATCCGAGAATGCGGAAATATCACGAAAATCAAAATTGCACTTCGTTTAGATTCCGGGGAGAAATCATCATAACTCATTTTTAGCGAACCCCAGGCTGTACCCGAAAAACTCGAAATTTGGTATCTCGAACCCGTAAACCCTCACTTGCCTTGTAAAGTTAATGCTAATTCATAGTACCATCTTGGTAGTCTCAAATTCCGAAAAATTATGATGTTCGATGCGATTGCGGCTGAGGTGGACCTGCCAAAATCCAATGGTTCTGTTGAAAAATCTTTTAAAAGATTACGGCGAGCTACGAGATAGAGAAAAAAAGCAGTACTGTATTCTATAAGGTTTACTCTATCGAGTCGTTATTTGAACTCCTTCTGAGGATTGATATGAAAGTTTTGAAAAATCGTGAAACTTGAAAATCTCAAAAAGCATGGGTCGCAGATTTTGGTTATTTTCCGAAAGCTTGCGTTGCAACGGTTTCATTACTATTAGAAAGAGGATGAATTTCTGCATCGAATGCTACCAAGATCTTCTAGAAATCTTTGTTCCATAAAAAGTGGCGCCCGTTTGAAAAAGCGAAATTACTCTTGAAACGACCTAATATGTGTGCAAAGTTTTCCGGTGATCGGTCCACACGCGAAAGTTTCTATAAAGAATACACTACTTGACAATTTATCAACATTCAGCTTTTTATATGTATAACAAAACAAGTCCACAGTCCCGGCTTAATTTTTTTTCAAATAGTTTTCCTCTAACCTACTGTTTTCTAAAAATGACCCGGACGGTTGCGTTGTGTGTCAGCCAATCGTACTCAATCGGAAATTTACAAAAACACGTATGGAGATTTTGCAAAGAGACAATGATTTGAACGTTTACTTATATTATATTTGAAGCTTGCATTTTGCACTCTTTTGGGACTTTTGAGTAATTCTTAGAGCATGGAAATTGCATAGACAATAATTTAAGAGTATAAGAAAACGAGATAAAACAGTTTTGGTCGCAATATAATGTATTGCAGTTGCACTGATTATCACCATTTTGTGACTACGAAGACAGTTCAAACAACTCGGCAAGATTCTGAAATTGGAACTTCTAGATTCTGAATTATATCGCATACTTTAGATTTTTAGCAGCCCAATTTATGATAACCAAAGTTGAAGTGATTCTATACTCTTACCTCCATCTCAAAAGCTGCTCCTTATCAGTGAGCAGCAAAGGTACTGCCACAAACATTATATAATTCCCTCTAGTCAGTGGAGCTGAGTTTGTGCAAATCGTCAACTGAGAAGGAGTTATGTTTTTTTTTCAAAAATGTTTCGACAGAACTTTTGCACCAACCTAATACATTTTTTTGCAGGCACTTTTGACCTAAGAAGCGTCGAGAACACAGTCACCATGGACATAGCTTTGATAGGTGAAAAACGGCGATAACTTTGAAACGAACTCATATAAAAGAATCTTGCAGCATTTTTGACAAGAGCATCATAAGGCAAGAGGAATGCTACGAGAACTATAGGAGAATGTTAATATTCCCGAAGTTTATAGGAGGAATCAAGAGCGGAAGCAACTTATTCCGACACAATGCACTTTCAATTATTTTGCTCCAGTAAACATAACTTCTCGTCCACAAATGTTCCGCAGATAAGGAAGGCAGATAAACTAAGCATTTATGCTCTTCGATATCGTTCATCCCATCTGAAAAGGCCACTTTGGCTAAGCACGCTTCCCTCAAGGGTTTATGTGAAGATCTATTTTCACCCTGTGCTTGCGACGCCTAGCATAACCAGTCGAGCAGTGTGATAAACCAAAGTAAATACATAGTATTACTAAGAAACGACTTTAGAATTTATCGGTTACCAATTTCGCTAATTGCAAATACAAAAGAGGAAACAGCGAAATTATTGGATTACTCGTATCAATTCAGTAATTACAATTTTTGATTCTTCCAAAATCTACTTTTGATACACTCGGCTGAGCAGTAATTCTCGTGCTGCCTCAATATATATATATATATATATATATCATGACTTATAATAACGGGCTAAGGATGTTTACGTGACTTTGTGTGTGTGTGTGTGTCTGTCTGTTACGAAATTCGTGGAGCGTGTTCCAGCCAACGTTCTAAGCCCAAATTTTGTATAGCGCATGCTACCTTCGTGAAAATCCAACATGCAAAAGCATGAGTAGATTCGTTGAGTGGATCCCTCAGAATTTGCGCGCCAAACGGGTCCACCTGGCTTCTCTTCCGCAAAAGTCGGTCCGTATCACCTTTTTGCAGAGTCGTGGATGAGTTTGGTAAGCAAATGTGCAAGCGATGGAGTTTAGCCAGAAAAGTGGTCGAAAGTTTACTACATAACGAAAACGGCGCCATAACGAATTGGTTGTGTAAATGGTCAATTTGCCAAGGTTCTAGCTAAGCGTTTGAGAAGATTTTCGCACAGAGATGTAGCTCACGGTTATCGTTACCTTTATGGCGAATACCAAGTCATGACAAACCCAAAAACCTATTCAAATTTGCGTTTGTCTTCCTGCGAAAAGTTTCATCCACTCGAAATCACCGATCTCACGTGAAAAGATTTTCTAAATGAGTGGTTGTTTACATTTTATTCGTGGTAGTCGGCATAGTGCGGTGAGTTCCACTGCCACGATTTTACGAGAATGAATAAGGCACATAGATAGTAGAGCCAGTGCGAACCTCTGCGAAGCAGAGGTGACGCACTGGTATATATATATATATATATATATATATATATATATATATATACAGGGTGTCCCAAAATAATGTGCACACTGTTTGATTTTGAATAACTCTCTTACTATGAGGTCTTTCGAGAAGCGGTAAAAACCATTTTGTAGAGCTGGCTTCAACTTAGATTTGCAGTATAGAGCGGATCACCGACCGCTCTTCATTACTGTAGGATTACGGTAGAAACTTGAAAGAGGGTTTTGGGCCATGAAAGGCCATATTTTGCCTCAGAAAGGAATCGGAACAGCCTGAAAACTTTCACGCTAGGCCAATTAGAGTTGCTGATTCTAACAGTAAGATTCCCAACTTATTTTTATGCTTCGCTGGAGAGTTATGCAAGGTAAGCCGTAGCGGCCGTTTTCTCAATGTTCCTAAAAAGTGCGGTTACACCGTTTAGAAAGCTTCGCAATCTTGAGCATAGTTGAGTATTGAAGTCAGCGTCCCTAAAAACCCTATTGCACAAGTTTTCACATCTTTTTGAAAATTTTTGAAACGGCAGCTTTTTCCACAGTGACACCATGTGTTCCAAGTTTCTACCGTAATCCTACAGTAATGAAGGGCGGTCGGTGATTCACCCTATACTGCAAATCTAAGTTGAAGCCAGCTCTACAAAATGGCGCTTACCGCTTCTCGAAAGACCTCATAATAAGAGAGTTATTCAAAATCAAACAGTGTGCACATTATTTTGGGACACCCTGTATATATATATATATATATATATATATATATATATATATATATACATATATACATATATACAGGGTGTCCGTAAAAAATGTGCCTACTGTTTGATTGTGAATAACTCTCTTCTAACGAAGTCTTTCGAGAAGCTTTAGGCACCATTTTGTAGAGCGAGGTTCAACTTAGACTAGCGGTATAGAGCGAATCACCGAGCTCGTTTTATTACTGTAGGAATACGGTAGGAACTTTCAGCATATGGAACCATCGTGAAATATGCCGCCTGACAATTTTTTTTTCAAAAAATCTGAAAAATCGTGTACTAGGGTTTTCGCGCACGCTGATTCCACTACACAACTTTTTACGAGTGTTTTCAGCTTTTTTGACGGTGTAATCACATTTCTGAAAAATGCTGGAAATTCAATTATTACGGTTCACCTGGGGTAACTTAGGAAAGAGGCACCACAGTAGAGTGGAAATTTCATATTCGAAAAGAGCGGCTTCCATTACCATAGTGTAAGAATTTCCGGCTTGTTTGGTTATGTTCCGAGGCAGATTATGGCCTCCAAAGACCTAAAATCCTTGTCGAAGTTCCTACCGTAATCCTACAGTAACAAAAAGAGCTCGGTGATTCGCTCTATACTGCAAATCTAAGTTGAACCTCGCTCTACAAAATGGTTCCGAAAGCTTCTCGAAAGACTTCGTTAGAAGAGAGATATTCACAATCAAACAGTAGGCACATTTTTTACGGACACCCTGTATATGTTCAATACATTTTTTTACACTTCAGTACACTGGAACTTACTAGCATGTTGCACGTGAAAAGATATTTTTAGATAACATCAACAGTTTTTAAGCAAAGGACTGAGCATAGCCACGTTTGCTGGCTGGTAAATTACAGTAGCATAATTATCCTGGGTCTAGAGAAAGATTGATTGCATTCTGAGCTTTCACTGCCTGATGCTCATATTTACCTAAAACACATTAGAACAAAGTTCTTGTCAAATCAAACAAATCAATGGCTGAAAAACTTTTGTTGTATTTCCACTGCAGGACTCCAGAAATGTGGAAATTTGCAGAAAAGAAATATACTTGAAACTCTTAGATCGCTGTTTCAGCATATCTCCATTCTTTTCGACCATCCATTGAGAGAAAAATTTGTGAATAAGAATTATTGTTGCGTGTTTCAATAGAGCTTCTAATCATATGTACACAGTTCCCGATCAGCTGATACTCAAAGAGGATACTAGTTTTGCATAGGTTCATTTTTGATACGTGCTCAAAGGCACAGGGGTGAACGGCAGCTCATATGGTGCCGACATCATTATCACTCATGTTGCTCTTTTCCCTGGAGTACTACATTGTGGCGGACCAATGTTATGTGGGAGACGATACTTTTGAAGCGCTTAACGTGAGTATTTGATCTATTTTGCAGTCAAAATGTTTCGTTGATTAATAACAAGCTATCATTGGAAGAGTAAAATTTTTTCAATTGGATTCCAAAGCCCATGATGCGAGTCAACACAACAGTTTTGCGGCAACCTGCGAACAATTACATAACTTGACAAAACAAGCTATTTCCTCCATTTCTGCTATCATGAGGCGAATGCTTATGCGCCACTCATGACGCTAAAATGTGCAGCTTCCTCCCGAATTGATAAGGCAAAGTAGACACAAGTAAGCACAAACAATAAGCAACGATGCAAAGGCTGGTTTAACTTGGAACCCCACTTTGAACTCCTTGCTAAATCCTCACATCCAATTATGATCTGCAGGTCACAATACCGATATGCTCATTCAAAATAGCGTACAACAATGATTGCTCTGCGCAGCCGAAGGTTGTGCTTGCAGAAGGACCCGCAACACAAATCGTCAATTTCAACAATGGAGTACGTGTCACCCTTTCGCTACTGTCGCTCTTAACGGGGAATACTATTACTTTTTTAGAGAAATAGTATTTGCTACTTTGAAGAAATGCATCTTCTCTGCTACTGTCGTGGTCATCTCTGCAACGATGACAACAGTATCAAGGTAAGTCGCATCACAGGAAACTTGTTGTTGCATACCCGTTTCACCAAACAATCTTAGAAGATACTTGGAAACACTTGTTGAACTTCTAAATACAGGATGCTCCTTGTTGCCAAGAGTGCTTTTACTCCAGAGCTAGATGACTTGAAATGGAAAAATCCTGATTCTATTGGGTTATCTCAAAAGTCTGATTTTATTATGTGTTATCTTAGTCAGACGTCCCGGAAACTATGCATATGCGTTGCTAATTGTTGGAAATTGACTCTCGCTCTGACCGCATTTCAGGGGTAGAGGACTATATGTCGCATGTACAAGGGTGCGTTTTGTCGCAAATGACCGCGGGGACGCCCTTTTTCGGCGACATATAGTCCTCTACCTTTCAGATTAAGAGGTCTGTAAAATGTACCAGAGCATGTGTTAATCTGTAGACTCAATGAAAGCGTGAAAGCATGGAGCCAATGCATTTCGATGCCCTGAGAGAGTTTTCTCGGGATTCCGTAGGGTTGCGCTGCACGTTGCGTAGGGCCGTAACGCATACTTAGAGCAAATCTAGTCACCATAACTTAAAAATGCTGAAGTGCTCATAACTCACTATGAGCGTACAGAAAGCTTAACACTTCAACATTTCGAAAAGATTGCACGAGGCGTAACATGAGGTCTGCTAGCGGTGGCTTTGAAGACAATAGACATGCACGAGGCGTAACATGAGGTCTGCTAGCGGTGGCTTTGAAGACAATAGACACAACGTCGGCAAAATTGCGAGAGGTAGGCCTGATTAGTGCACTGAATTGAATGGAGTACGGCAAACTCCGTTCCTAGACGTCCCCTGAGCTCCTCCCGCTCATGTGATCTATGGCTTACACATACAGAAGTAGGACCATGCATTTGTATTCTTTGTAGATGCCTCAATTCTCGAGAAATGCTGTTGTTCATGGTAAAAACGGTAAAAAATTATGAGACACCCTAATAAAAGCAGCGTGTTCTCTCTATAAGCGATTCTCAAAGTTTACTCGTCGGATCCGTCTGTATCTTTGCAGGGAGAACCCACATGCTGCAGCACGGGAACGCTGATCATCAAAGATGAAATGTAAACACAATATTCTCAAAAGCTTTCCCTTATGAGGGGTCTGTCCTCGGAACAGTGTTCAAAAGCCACAGGTTGGCTTGTCTTAACATGCGGCATTTCTTTCCACCCCTTCTCTTTTTGAAACTGGCCACTGCAGCAGCGTCGCGCAGCAGCGCTTGAAGGTAGCGTCCAAGCAAACACTCGGCTTTCATGTTTCTGTCATTCTCGAGCCCTTTCATGGCCTTTATTTCAAGTCTAAACTTCATTTCAAATCCCGTGAAAAACTCGATAACAAGTGTTTGGGAATGCCTTTTTATAAGCGTGGGCGGGTATTCGACATATCTGTTGCGGTGCAACGCGAAAACACGTATCACAGGACAAATTTACCTCGCAGCTACAACGTGAAAGGTGCTAAACCTGTAAGCCCTTTCGCGGAGGTGTATGGAGAGCAGAATGGGTTAGAGGGGGGGGGCATATTTGAGGCCCGTATGAAAATCTGAGGTAAGTCGATCTTACCTGGACGCTGCCTTTTGATTACAAATTGCTCTAGACTCTTTTAGACACCTTAAATGGAGAAATTGTAGCCTATTGAAAATTGAAAACGAGAAAAAGCAAATAATCGTTCTAGCAAGATGCGCTGCGTTTACGTTGCGGAGGTAGTACCACCTACGAGAAGCTGTTCGAAATAAACATCATATTACAGAGTCGCAACCGCTATTACTTTTGCGAGCTAATAATCTAGCCAAAAATGCCAGGTACTTGAAATTGGGCAAGCTTCACATATAAATATGTCAAATGGCTATACAACGCAGCTCTCCCGATCTTGCAAAGTGGAGCCACAGCGATATTTTGGAGCCTAAATGATTGCAACGCTTCTTTAGTTTCAATTTCCTGCAATCCAAGTCCGGAGCTTTGCAACTTTACTTCACTTCAGTCGCCTCGCTAGCTCAAATTTAGGAATTTTTGCATAGAGTTGACTATACCTTCCAAGTCTGGAATCCTTCCGAATGTTTCTTCATAAAATCGCAATAATTATGAAAGCACGTGGCTTGCAAAAAACAAAATTATGATATATTCTGGAGAGTGACTGGAACGCAAGTCAATACGTGTTATTTGCCTTTTTAGGAAATATTAGCTCGGGAACTTGCTAATGGAGCGTCAGGGAACTTGAAAAAACTAGTCGCATGCTTTCTTTTGCACGCAGGTGGTGTACCAAATGATTATCTATTGTGTTTCAAACTGGAAAGATTTTACTTGCTTGATAATCAGAAGTATATCTAGATGATGGCGAAGGCTACATACGGCAAAGATTACGCGGGGAGGAGGAACCGGAACGTCAGCTTCGTCCTGTACGTTTCTGAGCTAATTATTTGATAAAGATTTTTTGAGCTTATAGTTGCCGATGTCAATCAAGAAAAGTCCTCCTGAGGGAAAAAAGTACGTTTTTTTGAATGGTTTGATACACTGATGCAAAATAGGTTAAAGTGAGAGAAGTCACCGCTGAGACTCATTGGAGATACACTGTAGTCATTTCTTCAGCCACTTCACAATTTTTTTCTAAACTTGCTGCACTGCTTTACGTTGCAAAACCTAGAACTTCTGCATCACTAACATTGATTTCATCAGAATTTGAGGTGGTTAGTGTCGGCAAAACTTTTTGCCGCAAAAGTGCTTGAGACCACACCGTTTTTGAATATCAAGGGAGGATTGCAATATAACCCATTCCATTAATTTCGCTCAAGTGCATCACAATAAAAATTTTCTACTCTAGTCATTATCAGGGCTCTGCATCATCTGGAACCGGGGTGATTTTGAAACGAAGAAGTCCCCTTTGACCTTTATCCTCTTCCCTTCACTACTTTCCATTTGCCTTTTTTGCTTATGCTGTACCTACCCTCGATAGAAGGTATAAGATTAATTTTCTTTTGCTTTTCTTGAACAGAAAAATTTTTTTAAAAAGTTTCATACTTCTCAAATCATGCTCCGAACGCGTTTTGCTCCGTGGTCGGAACTTAAACCTACCGGCCCAGCACTGACTCCTACCCTCCCCATCTCTCTCACTTACTGCCCAATTCTTTCCTCCTCCTACCCCCACCCCTCCCCCCCCCCCACCCTATTCACTCCCTCTTCCCTCCCATAGGGATGGCATTATGGATAACAAGAAAGAATAAAAAGACAAGCATAGCCAAGGCCAAAGAGGCCAAACGGGATTGCATAGCGGCGCGCTTTGCAGTGCAGATTGTGCCGTTAATAAAAATTTGAGAGCTAAGAAAAAGCTTAGAAGAAAGATTACGATCGGCTTTTTGGTACAGTGCTGGCCATAGCTATAAGGCTACCCTAAAAATCACTGTAATTTGCTCTCTTTTGCTGAAAATTGTCTGAAAAACCACTATTCTGTGTGCAAGCTCACGTCATATCGCGAGAACGGCTCCCACATTGATTTTGGCCGAAGAAAAATTGAAAAATTTGAAAAACCAGGTTCCTAAGGCTGATCACAGCTATAAAGCCAACATCTCTCATTGCTAATCAGTACTACGTTTTTTGAATCTGAAATTTTTTGTACATATACAACATCAAAATATGAGACATCTATTACACTTGCAAGCAGTCGCCTTTTCAAAAAGAAGATTTATCATGCATTTTTTGCTTCATAATGTATATAAAGTTATAGTGTTTGGAAAAACTGCCTTTTCACCGAATTCTCAAGCATTTGTTTGACTCGAATGAAGGTCCTAGGCTTCGCCGAGCCTTTGCAATGAGTATGGTGAAAAGCGAGTCAACATGCGTAGTCGCTGTATTGATGAACGAAGCTCAATCTTACCTAGGTGTAAACGCACTTCTGAAATTTTCGCGCGTAAGAAATCTCGATTGTTGGAAGGTTGACAGCTTGTTAGCATGGTGACGTACTCATGCAGAAGCTGTTAGGTTTTCTACAAAGACGTATTTGCAGCATTGAACTTAGAACGCCTTGTCTTTAGTTCGGTTGTGCGCAGTGTATTTCACATGACTTCAATTACTGCTTGGAACTCCTCATTGAGTCAAATCTTACAAAACCGTCAGGAATACTGAAATTTTGAAGTTTTGAGCGGTTTTCCGCTCGTTCGAGTGGTCAGAATGGGTCATGATCAGGCAGAGTGCACCACTCATTTTTGGAAAAAAGGCGTCCAAAGCGGAACCAAAATCCTTTAGAGTTGCGATGACGTTCAAGCTATGCGCAGGAGTCTATCGTTGACAAGCGACGTGCTGAGCACATGACAGAGCTTTTCGGGCATTAGGATTTAATTTCTGCTGTTCAATAATTCGCCTGCCTGGAGGTGAGGTTGGGGCTCGTTCGTCAATATCAGCGACTACGCAATGTTGATTCAAGTACTTTTCACCGTGTTCATTGCAAAGGTTCGTTAAAGCCTAAGACTTTAACCCAAGTCAAACAGATGCTTGAGAATTCGGTGAAAAGGCGTTTTTCCATAAAATATAACTTTTTATGTATTTTATGGCAAAAAATGCAGCATGAATCCTCTTTTGGAAAGGCGACTGCTTCCAAGTGCAACAAATGTTTCATAATATGATGTTGTATATGTGCAAAAAATTTCAAATTTAAAAAACGTAGCACTGATTAGAAATGAGAGGTGGCTTTATAGCTGTGACCAGTCTTGGGAACCCCTTTTTTCAATTTTTCAATTTTTCTCCGGCCAAAATCAATGAAATTGGGAGCCGTTTTGGTCAATGATATGACGTTAGCTTGCACACAGAATGCTAGTCTTTCAGACAATTTCGAGCAAGAGAGAGCAAATTACAGTGATTTTTAGGATGGCTTTATAGCTATGGCCAGCACTGTATTATGGAACTTTCACGGTGAACAAACGATATATGCAAAAAATATAAAAAGTTTTGTAAGCAAAGTTTCTGTCTCAGCACAGGTGAAACCCAGCTGGGACTTTTCCATATGACTTAGAAAAGTTTAGCACGGCTTTCATTCGCACAAGTATCCATAATTATTTGGGCCATAGTTCAAGTCCCCTCACGCGCATACGCGCATAAGTTTGGTGTCAGAGCACTACGTATTCGTAATTAATAACGCTTTTGTTTGCGGGAAGCGTGTCGCTTGCATGCAGCAAGGCATGCCAACGGCATGCCTGCCGTTCTTCACCGCGGATCCCGCAAATACGATATCCCACCTTTTGATTTTGCTCAATGGCAGTGTCCAGGCAAAAAGTCGATTTTGAGAATTTGCGATTACCTAAGCCTATTCGCTATGCTAAATCCAAAAATCCACACTGGAGAGCGCAAAAACGGCGAAAAAAGGCTGCAACGCAGCAGGAAAATTGCAGGTGGGCGGGGGCTGTTCACACTGTGACGTCACTCCCCCTGCTTCGCAATCTTCTCCGATTTTATGTTAATCGTTTCGCATTTGGCTAGTGGCGATGTTAGGGTTACTAGAGGAAGCAAGAAGATCGCTCCTGAAGCTGAGAGAGTGACGTCACAGTGTGAACGGCCGCGCCCATTTGCGAATTTCCTTCTCCGTTAGAGCCCTTCGCCTTTTTGCGCTCTCCGGTGTGGATTTCCGGATTCAGCATAGCGAATAGGCCCAGGTAATCACAAATTCTGAAAATCGATTTTGTGCCTGGGCACTGCGTTCAAAGGCAGCGTCCGGGCAGATATAGAAATTTAGTGTGCGGGGGCTCCCGCGCTGATAAAGCTCTTGCCTACTCTTGCCTATGGCATTGCATCACTTCGCTTCTTCCTGAGCGAGAAAACCGCTTCAGAAGTGGCGACCGGGACGCCCTTTCATTCGATTGCCAGAGTCTGTATGTCACACACAGTCAAGACGGAGGGTCCCACCACGACTCTGCGTCTTGATCTCGGCGGCAAGCTTTCATATTCGAAATCAACAGCTTCTGAAACAGTCCATTTTCGACATTGTACTCTGCAAGCTGCATTTTTGGAATCAGCGGGAAGAATAAGCCCAGGTAAGCGAAAAAAGTTTTGTTCGAAATTTTTCCTGGACACTGCCTTTAAGCTCATCCAAGGTAGTATAAGAAATCAATAAAAATGCTTACGCGTTTCGGCAATGTATCGGCTGTTTCAGGGCGCTGTAGTGAAAGTTCAAATACGACAGCTAGAGACGCACCACTGCCACCCAAATGTTCACTATATAACGGAAAAATAAAGTGACGTAACCCTTTTCCGCTGTCTATTTATGGTCCACAGGACGCTGATAAGCTCTAAGATTACTATGGCTATCGTTTATAATAACGGGCTAAGGGTGTTTACGTGTTTGTGTGTGTGTGTGTGCCTGTTACAAAATTCGTAGAGAGTGTTTCAGCCAGTGTCCTGACAAATTTTGCACGGCGTATGCTACCAGCATGAGTCCACTATGCAAAAGCAAGAGCAGATTCGTTGAGTGGATCGCTCAGAAATTGCGCGTCAAACGAATCCGCTTGGTTTCTGGCCCGCAAAATTGGGTCCGTATTGCCACTTTTTGCAGACTCGTGGATGTGTACGGCAAGTGATTGTGCAAGCCATGAACTTAGGCACAAAAAACTGATAAAAGTTCACTACTTTACAAAAAAGACCCAAAAAGAATTGGTGGCATAAATGGTCAATTTGCCAAGGTTTTATCACAGCATTTGACGAGGTTTTTGCACAAAAACGTAGCTTATAGTAATTATTGTTCATACTACACTATCAGAACCATGAGAAAATCAAGAATCTATTCAAATTTGCGTTCGTTCTTCTGCGAAAGATTTGATCTATGCGGAATCACCGATTTCACATTATTGCTGGAATGAGTAGAACATGCAGATAGTAGGACCTGTAAGTGGCGATCAAGAATAACGATAGCTCTGCCAGCCGCTAGCTGCCAGCAGCTCGCGCGCAGAAAAGCACGCCCTCAATGATTTATTAAGCTGGAAAAAATGATTTAAACTTCGATTATTTTCATGGAAGTGCGTTTTCTACAACAACTATAGAAGCTTACATATTTCACACGCTAGGTTGAGCTCAAGATATTTTTATTGCGTGTTCATGGCGATGTGATTGCGGTTTCCATCTAAAAAATTCTAGGAGCATTAACATAAAGCATAAATAAAGAAGAAGAATAAAGCTTTGGACATTTGCTGCCACAAAATGTAGGGCAGGAGCTCGTCCGCTGCTGCGGCGGTGCCACCTGTGTACCGTTTATTGACACCGGGGTACTCAGGGTTCCACTATTGCCAGCTATGGTTATTCTTGACATATACCCGGACCTGTGCAAGCTTCTGCGAAGCAGAGGTGACGCACTGGTACTGTCATAGTTCCTATCCATTCTTCGAGAACGGGCGATGTGGAAGGCTTTAAAGGTTTTATGCGCTAGAATTTGTGGTTCATGCACTAACAGTGCGGCAACTATTATGGTGGTGTCTTGATGACATTCTATTCGACGAGCCCCAAGTGGAGTGAAGTTTGGACTTTCGCAAGCCATCTAAAGGCTGTTGCATGACGAAGGCGCAACACCTTTGGACGCGATCGCGGTTCTATTAGCCGCAGAGCGCATGAGGCGCAGGATTTACCGGTGAAGATACGTGCGCGCCGCTTTCGCGCCCGCTCGACTAACATCACTTCTGCGCCTTCGTCATGCAGCAGCCTTTAGATGTTCTTCAACGCGAGAAATGTTTGTTTGTTTTTCTTCTGTTTCTTCTATGTAAGTAGCCCCGCAGGCATTGTATGTTATTTGATAGACAACGCCAAATATCACGCAATCGCTTTCTACCAAATTGGGATAGGTCATGCAGAGACGAAAAGGAGCGATTGCACTATTAATTGCTGCTTCCCTTTGCTTTTTCTACCAAAAACAACATCCAGCTTGCCTCGGTTTCGGTTGTGCCGGATCCTGGCTATTCGCAAAATCAATTTCTTCTTCATGTCTTCTCCATTCTTTTCGAACGTTGGCCTTATTGAAAAATATCGGACAGCTAAACTGTGCCACGACACGAATTTACAGCAATACTTGGAGCTTCATGTTTTGGAAAAACCTAAATAGTCAAAAACTTCTCAGCTTTCGATTACGATGCGATTGAAGGCCTAAAGCGTTTGCTCAAATTGAATGAATAAATTTCACTTCACTGAGAACGGCGTTGTTGCCGTAAAGTACAGAATAAAATGTTGTTGGAGAGTATTGTGACATAAGCAAGCTGGTAACATTTTCTAGTTCTCGCTGACAGGTGCCGAATGCTAACAATATGCGATCCTTTTTTATCACATGAGGATGTGCTAGTAAATGACAGGTATGACTTGTCAAAAGTTGTTTGCGCCACATTTTTACGTTGATGTTTTAAAAACAGACTTACAGTACAGGCTTTCGCGGAGGGTAACAGACACCCTTTAAATTCTAAGATTTCACTTTATTGTGCGTCCATAAATTATGTTGACGAATCAATTTTGAAAAATTGTAACTTTTGTAGACTAGCGACAGCAAAAAAGCCGAAACCGCTTCGTCCTCTGCTTTTCGAAAATATTTAGTTGATCCAAGTTCTGTACTTTGAAGTACCTTGGTGAAAGGGTTGCAAACGATAGAGATTTACAAATTTTCAGAATGGAAACCCTACAACTCCTTTAGATGCGCCGCTAGGAGAACGTGAAGAGTGTCTTGAAACCGATTCGTCCTTCGCATTTAGTAAACGTGTAGTCTTAGAGAGAAGCTATCTTTATACAATCACATCAAAAGCAATATTGCTTTATATCTTTCCTTCTTACTGAATTGGTGATACTTTCTTTCAAATCGTTCCACAAATAATGAAACTGTCGGCTGAACTGGAAGAGAGGACGCCTAATGAAAGAGAAAAGATTGTGCGAATGATGCCGATCTAATGAGAAGACTTTAAGTTTGAATTTGTCAGTGATTTTTGACACCATGATTTGACTTTGCTCGTCCACGATTATAGTATTTTTCAACATCAATTTCATGGTTTAAAAGTTATTTGAACCCACAGTTTTGTACTATTTCTTGTAGGACAAAACTGTCAACATAATTCTGATGAATGCGGACTCCTTTCAGACAATCATGTTTTTAGGAACGACTGGTTCCTCTTCATTGCTGGAGCTGCAGTTGTGATCATTTTCGCTGATCTTATACTGCTATTCCTAATCTTCTTTCTCGTCCTAAAGAAAAGGAGATTGAAGAATGCTGGTGAAAAATCGAACTCGAACACTTTGTCGAAGAAGTCACTGGATACACATACACCACAATACCCCTTCCCTGAGTTCAGCGGAAGAGAAGGCTCAAATATCTTGAATGTCAGTGATGCAGAAGGTGTTAAGAGAATAGAAGAAGTCATAAAAAGGGAAGAAGAAGAGGAACAAAGCTGAGAGAAAAGGAAAAATACTTTCGTATATGTTTGGTTTAGTCATTTGATAAGAAGATGAAATTCACTTCAAATAATATTTATTCGTCTAGACATTTTATGGAATAAAGACTTATGCATGATCCATCAAATTAGCAAAAACGATTCATGTTGATGTTTACATACGAGGCTCTCTATATAATCAGAGAGTGATAGAAGTACTGTCAAAACTTTTTTCAAATTTTCAACTATTCTCAAATCAATCTAAACTTTCATTGAAATTAGATTTGGAAGAATAGAATTAGTTGGAATTTAGAAGTTAAAATTTTTTTAGTTGAGCAAACTGCTAAAATATCGAAAACATTTGAGCTTTACGAACTGCACTTTCACACTATCTTGAACTTTTAGCAATTTTTTACCCAAAACATGTGGTTTATGAAAACTGACTAAATAGTCCATTATGGATCATAATTTTTTCACTAAATTTTGCCGATATTGGTTCTTAGTGTTGGGCTGCTTGACTTCTTTGATACGTTCCGAACAATTGAAATGATGTTCCTGAAAAAGAATTAGGTAATGGATATGACCAGGCGAATAATGATTTTAGAACTTCTTAGAAATGTTTATCCTGAGAGCGATGCCATGAAAATTATTGATGATCTCATGACTCATTTGTATGTGGACATAGAGGGAGGAAAGATATCAAATGTCGTATACAACTCTGTACGGTTAGCTACAATCGCCTCTTATCTCCCATCACAATCATGTGTTAGATTAGCGCGAGACTGTGTAATTTGAATCAAATTACATTCAAAATAAATCGCAAGCCCAAATTGATGCTTATTTATTCTTATAGTAGAGATAAATTCGCGCATCAAGCATCAATTTTGCTTTAAGTTGACGTCTTTCGGAAATTTTGTCTTTTGGTAGGAAAAGAACAAAGTTTCGAAACTTTATGCGTCATTTTGGGTTAGAAAAAATTTGCAAAGAATGTTGGAATGAGCGAGCCAGTCCAGAAAAAAACTCAAAAAATTTACCCATGGCAGTAGGTCATATCTAACTCTGTAGAGTTAGGGTAAGCATATGATCGACGGTGGTCTTGAGCACAGAACTGCTCGACATTTTGTTGAAAATGCTTTTTATCTTGACATGCGTATCAGTAAATTTACTGAGCGCCGATAACTTTTTTCGAAAACATTTAGCAGACAGCGAAGCCAAATTGGACTTATTATTGAAGGTACAAAGAAGCCGTATATGTGTAATTGCATGGGTAGTATCCAGGGTCAAGCAAGGGATGTGGCACACGATCGCTGGTTACGACCCCCCCCCTGATTGCTGTCTTAATAAGACCCCCTCCCCTAAACTATACACTTAAGATAGCATTACTTGAAGGCTTTGTCAAACATAATGGGCAACATATCCATAATTAGCATGTCGAATAACCCCTGTAGATAAAGTTTGAGCGGATTCTGAAGATTCAACATACTAGACTACCTAAGTGAAATGGTCATTTTTCAACATGTTTAACATTGTTTCAAAGGAGAATTAGCTATCCGTTTTTGCACTCAAGACAAAGCACTACTCCTTTGTCCACCTCAGGAATCCCGCTTCAGAAGACCTCCAAACTGTGGAATTAGAAGCCAACCAAAATCTCGTTTTTCCCATTTTTCGCTTTTAATGGCTGTGCTTCCACCAACTATTACTCAGAGCAAAGAAAACGAATTAGGCTAAAATTACTCCTTTGAAAACTAGGAGATCTAGGCTATCGATTCATATAAATAGTGTCCGCTAAAAATGTTTTTTTGATATAGTTAATGGCCTGCGGCACCCCCCCCCCCCTCAAAACCTGCGGCTGCCGCAGGTTTTGAGGGGGGGGGGGGGGGTGCCGCAGGCCATCATAACTTATAATAACGGGCTAAGGGTGTTTACGTGACTTTGTGTGTGTGTGTGTGTGTGTGTGTGTGTGTGTGTGTGTGTGTGTGTGTGTGTGTGTGTGTGTGTGTGTGTGTGTGTGTGTGTGTGTGTGTGTGTGTGTGTGTGTGTGTGTGTGTGTGTGTGTGTGTGTGTGTGTGTCTGTCTGTCTGTCTGTAACGAAATTCATACATCGGGTTCCAGCCACCATCCCGAGCCCAAATTTTACATAGCGCATGCTACCAGCGTAGAACTCCAGCATACAAAAGTACGAAAGGATTCGTTGAGTGGGTTCCTCAGAATTTGCGCGTCAAACGGATCCACTTGGCTTCTGGCCCTCAGAATTGCGTCCGTATCAACGCTTTTTGCAAAACCGTGGATGTGTTTAGTAGGGTGATGTGTAAGCCATGGACTTTAGACCAAAAAGTGACCAATGGTTTGCTACTCTACGAAAGCGACGCCAAAAAGAAATGGTCGCGTAAATGGTCAATCCGCCGTGGTTTTACCTGAGCATTTGAGAAGGTTTTTGCATAGAGATGTAGCTCACGATAACTATTGTCCTCATGGCGACTACCAAGCCAAAAAAGTTTCAAAACCTGTTCAAATTTGCATTTGTTCTTCATTTTCCAAAGTTTCATCCACGCAAAATACCGATCTCACACGAAAAAGCTCAAGGAATGAGTAGTTATTTACGAATCATTCGTGTAGGCGGGCATTGCGCGGTATGTTTCAATGCTATGTTATGCGGGAATGGGTATGACATTTAGATAGAAGAGCCAGTGCGAGCCTCTGCGAAGCAGAGGTGACGCACTGGTTAACTATATCAAAAAAAACAATTTTAGCGGACACTATTTATATGAATCGATAGCCTAAACCTTGTAGATTCCATAGGACTATTCTGAGCCTGATTCGTCTTCTTAGCTCCAAATAATATTTGGTGAAAGCACAGCGATCAAAAGCGAAAAATGGGAAAAATGAGATTTTGGTTGGCTTCTAATTCCACAGTTTGGAGGTCTTCTGAAGCAGGATTCCTGAAATGGACAAAGAAGGAGTAGTGCTTTGTCTTGAGTGCAAAAACGGATAACTAATTCACCTTTGAAACAAAGATAACCATGTTGGAATTTGACCATTTCACTTAGGTAGTCTAGTATTTTGAATCTTCAGAAATCGCTCACACTTTGTCTACAGGGGTTATTTAACACCAGTGCGTCACCTCTGCTTCGCAGAGGTTCGCACTGGCTCTACTATCCGTGCCTTCTTCGTGATCGCATAATAATGACTTTGAAACTCACCGCGCTATGCTGAACATCACGAATGAATTGTAAACAATCATTCATTTTTAGTGCTTTTCCATGTAAGATTGGTAATTTCAGGAGAAAAAATTTTCCCGCAGAAAAACAAATGCGATTCTGAATGGGTTACTGAATTTATTTTGGCTTTATATTCGCCATAAGGATAAACACCACTTTGGGCTACATATCTATTCAAAAATCCTCTCAATTTTTATAGAAAACTAGCTGGCTTACCCGGCTCCGCCGTATCCGGACCAAACTTGGCACACATACACTTCGGGCCCTGGCGGGTGTCACAGTCCACTTTTCGTTATCGATCGATGTCGATTTTACCGATTTTTATCGATTTTTTTGCAGAGTTCACTTACAGGGCTAGGAGTTGGCACAGGGGGCGAAGTGAGCATGGGGATTCCGAATACAACATTAGTTTTCAGGATCGTCCATTACTTTTATCGATTTTATCGATTTTTTTGCTCAAACTTTGCAAAAAAATCGATAAAATCGATAAAAGTAATCGATAATCCTGAAAACCAATATTGTATTCGGAATCCCCATGCTCGATTACCCCCCTGTGCGAACTCCCAGCCCCGTAGCTCAAACTTTGCAAAAAAATCGATAAAATCGATAAAAGTAATCGATAATCCTGAAACCCAATATTGTATTCGGAATCCCCATGCTCGATTACCCCCCTGTGCCAACTCCCAGCCCCGTAGGTGAACTCAGCAAAAAAATCGATAAAAATCGATAAAATCGATATCGATCGATGACGAAAAGTAGCCTATGACACCCGCCGGGGCCCAAAGTGTATGTGTGCCAAGTTTGGTCCGGATCGGTTCAGAAATGGAATTTTCTATTCGGAACATACGTACACACAGACATACATACAGACAGACAGACAGACAGACAGACAGACATACAGACAAACAGACATTCAGCTTTATATATAAGATTCTTGGCAAATCGACAATTTGCTCACTTACATCTTTTTGGCGCCAATTTTGTGTAAAGATTGACTTTCTGCTTACTTTTTGAGCTGAAGTCAATGTTTTTCGGATTTACTTGCTGAACAAATCCACGACTTTGCAAAAAGCCCAACTACCGACAGATTTTGGCGGACCAAAAGTCGCGCGGACCCGTTTGGCGCTCAGTTTTCACAGGTTCCACTAATCGGATCGGCTTGTGCTTTTGCACAGTTTACCTACATGCTGATAGGGTGTTATGACCAAAATTTTAGCTCAGGATCTTTGATGGAAGTCGCTCTACGAATTTCGTGACAGACAGACGTACACACAGACAGACAGACAAACAGACGTAAACACCCTTAGCCCGTTATTATTAAGTCATAGATGCTAATTATGGATAGGATACGAATATCATGTTATCACTATTATCAGATTACCCAACTACGACCCCCTCCCCTTTTCACTCCTCAATACGATCCCCCAGGTGTGGCGTGCCGCACCCCTTGCTTGACCCTGGTAGTATCCTTATTACGGGCAGTGTTTTATCAAAACTTGGATATCGGGTTTTTCAAAAATTGCAAGTGCTCGCAGCCCTGTCTAACTTTATGTAGGTTCAAATCGGCATGAAAGTCTCCAAAATCCGCGTTTTCAAGGCCCGGCGAAGACAACTTAGACGAGATGTTTTCTCTTGCTATAGCCTTCGGTGCAGGTTTAGACGTGTCAGCGAGAAGGCTGTCGCTTGGAAGAGGTGTTGATACCCGAAAAGGGAAACCAGCGAGTCGGCCAGCGCATGTCAAATCGCTCTTTGCAGCCACTTTGAAAGCAATTTTTGGGGTGGAAGGGGCCGAATCGAGTCGAACTTGAGCATGTCCTATTATGGTATCTTCTGAATATGTGTAAACCGTACTACATTGATTTTGTTAGGTGTAGATGGCTATGTGTAACGATTACTTTGTTTGCTGTAATGCGGTGAGATGTCAAACAAATCTCGTCAAAATGAATTGAAATAAGATAATGCACACATTTAGAGCAAACGAGAATTTTGCAGAACGCATATTCTAAAAGCACTGCACTTGCACTGCTATACATCTTGAATACCATACGTTCAACAGTATTATGTGAAAATGGCGAACCATAAAAGGTTCAAAGTTTAAAAAACCGAGGGCATTGTGAAGAAGTTCAAAGTAAGCTTGAGGACAAAAGCGCCTTCCTCGCGAAAAGCAAAGTGTAGATTGAGACTTCGGTCTCCCATCACCGCTCATGCTGCAGTTACCGCTGTAATCAGCGTTACCATTGTTGAGTGATGAGATATCACGGCAAAGTCTCTTTCCTCCATGCAGGCTCCCATCAATCGCTTAGACAAATGACCGGAAGTTCCGCAGAGCGCTTGCGGAAGATCCGCCGGGTCACCTGCGGAAGTTGATGAAGTCCTGCGGAAGTTCCGAACAATGCCAACCACAAAAGCAAAAGAGAACACCGGGGCGAGAAATGAACCTCATTCTATTGACTGTGAGACCTACCTACTATCCGCGCTACGGCTGGCCTATTCGATAATGCTCTAGTTGGTGGCGAGGCAACATCACGAGAGAACAATCCAACGTCCTGCGAAACCTCTGGCAATTCTCGGAATTCCACAGGATTTCGAAGGAGGTTCTGCGGAAGTTCCGGTTTGCAACCAGTTTGGCGTGAAAATCCCGCGAAAGTTCCGATTTTCAAGGTTTTCATTTTTGCCACAGTGAACAAAGTCCTGCGGAACTTCTGCAAATTTGGCTTGTCCTGCGGAAGTTCCGGTAATTTGTGTGAGCGTCATACGGAGAAATGAGACCTCATCTGCAATAACAGTAGTAACAGCGGTGACAGGAGTAACGATTGACAGGAGTAACGATTTGATCGCCGTAACAGTATTAACAATGGTAGCAGCAGTAAACAGCTAACAGCGATGTAGGACTTTGCGTAATCGCGAAAGTCGATAAGTTTGGAGCACTACACGCGCACTGAGCTTTCTCAGTCATTATATTCTCCTTCCATATGCTCTATTGCTTTCAGATGTTAGCATCTATTTACCTAAAACGATAAAAGTACGGGATCGTGTGACTGGTTTGAGGCCTAGTGGGATCCTGCGTGCGCCACGGCCGTAAACAAACTCAGCGATTTCTCGATTACGCAGACCTAGGCCCTAGGCAGAGTTAACGCGAATTCATCGTCGCGATTCATCGCTACAAGACAAGTGTCACAAGTTCATTGCATGCAGATCTTCTTGTATTTCGGTTGTGACAGTTAGTCACGATTAGCCGTGCTGGAAAACTATCACAACTGAAATGCAAGAAGATCGGCATGTAATGATATTGTTACAGTTGTCTCGTCGCGATCAATCGCGGCGACAAAATCGCTTGAACTCTGCCCCAGGCCCTACAAGAGCGGTAGCAGCAGTACTACCCGTAGTGTACGGGCGAAGCTTTATAAGATGATTCTAAACACTTGTGCCATGTTTTCACTGTTACAGCTGCCATAAGCAGTCGAGTCCATTTTTATCTCTTTTCTCAAGACAAACGGCGACTATGAAAAGTCGGGAAGCGGCTCTTCATATAATAGTCTTTCTATCGATTTTGTGGTCCACCAAACATACTCGAGCAGCTCAGTGCTATGAAGGGACGAAAAGTTTTGAAAAAGTAGAAGTAAGTTCTTCTTCATATTTTATAGAGCGTACTTTCCAACAAGGGTGGAGGCGCATATAGTTTGAATGACAAGAGTACGACTGTATGCAGGCAAACGCCTAGATTGACTAGAATTGTCGCTGGAAGTTGAGAAAGATGTCGCGTTCAGTAAAGATTATCCGCTAAATCAGACATGCACATCTTACACCCCGTGCTTTTTCTCTAGACTCGCCCTGTGCATTGGCTAACCAAAGCTGTGCATCACTTCATCTCGTAAAGCGTCCTTCTTGTGGCTCTCCTTTCTGTGGCTTTTCTGGCTAATGTGCTGTGCGTTCCTATCGGAGAAAAATTTTTACAAAGCGTTAGCGGCTTTTTCTAAAGGTATTTGAAGCGCCTAATTTTCTCCTTACTCTAGTCTTAGGCCCCGGTCAGACTTCACGCGACTTAATCGTCGCGACCAAATCGCCAAGATTTCCATTCATTTTCATTTCACATTCAAAAATTTCGGTCTGGAAAAGTATCACAACCGAATGCAAGTTGATCTGCATGGAATGATGCTGTAACAGTTGTCTCCTCGCGATTCAGTCGCGACGATCAAATCGCGTGAAGTCTGCCCGGGGCCTTAAAAAGCAGTTCTCCTTTCCGATTTCCTTAGTCAAAATGCACCAAGTTTTGCACGCTTAACACATTCACAACAGGGCCGATTTTTCGATGACCGCCATTTCGGACCAGAGCATATTTCGCAAAATTGAGTTTGCGTAATATTTTCAGGTCACTGATAGACCTGTGGTCTGAAGTGTTAACCTTTTAGGAACTACTCGAAGAGGTGTATGCAGAAGTTTACTGGTTCGCCTAAAACTTCCACCGTGAACTAACAAAACGAAAACTTCGGAAGGCATACGACCCACCGGTGGGTCGTATTGTCCGAAATGGCAGAACACGTACGACCCACCGGTGGGTCGTATTGTCGTGAATGTGTCAAACTCTATACAGTCGAATTGTTCACTCTTTCTTTGTTACTCAAAAGCTAAGAGCCGTCCCCAAAAACTCATTTTCATAAAAGCATACTGGCCAAATTTACAGTATCTTCCCCAATGCCGAATAACATATCAATTTTCCGCGGTATCGCCATTTTCTGGGAGCTATGGTGGGTAGAATATGGAAGAGATCTAACTCACGATTCGCTGAAACTTGGCCTAAGAGCTTTATTCAACAAGTTGGTCACAAAACATACTCCTTCTGCATCTAAGGGCCCTTTCATAAAGTTGCGGTATATTTACGGTATTGGTATAAATTCTTAAGTTTGGCTGAATTCCGGTTAGAAGGGCAATTCCACATGTTGATCACGAGCATCATACTCTCCTTGCGTTTTGGGACCTTTTCGTGAAGTTATGATAGATATGGTGAGGGATCGAAATCATAGAATTGCCTGAAGTGCCCATCTCGCATGATAAAGCCTCTAGGTGAACCTTTCTGATTTTAATGACCCGAAAGGGGAAAAATCCATCCACCATGCTGCAAATATCGTAACTCAACGATAACGCATTAATGCAGCGAGCAAGCATAGGACAAATCGGCATGCTTGAAACCTTTCTAGGCGAAGTTTTGAGCAAGTTTGAAACTACTAATCTACCGTACACCCACCGCAGTAAGTAAATAGCGCTGTTCTGATAAATCGTATAATATTCATGTTCATCGGGCCAAAGAACTTCCTTGGCAAATTGGAGCAAATTTGTGGCTTCACTTCATACCGTATACCCACCGTAATTCCATGGAAAAGCCCCGAAAATGCAGAAGGAGTATGTTATTTGTGATCAGCATGTCAGGAAACCCTCCAAACCAAATTTCAGCCAAAACCGATTTCGACCCCTACCAGTAGCGGACCGAGGGGTAGCGCCCTCCCCCCCCCCTCCCCTCCTCAAGAGTGGGTCGCGAAATCTTCGTAATTCACTCACACGGGTGAGGGGTTATGAGCTCGCAAAATTTTAAGCACCCAGGAAATTTTTTGAGAGCGTGGCTGACGCCAGCCCTTTCGTTTGAAAAAAAATCTTTGCAGTCTCCCCCCCCCTCCCGGACGGATATCCTGGGATTGCCTCTCCCCCTCCCCTACCTACACCCACCTTGCTCCACCAAATGAGGTATTTGTGAAAAAAGATATCGTGACATTTAGCGAAATTCACGACTGCTACTCGGATACTTGAACAATGCCGCTCAAACTCCCCCGCAAGCATTTCAAGTTCAAGTGTACAGTTTTCGTTTCTGGATATTTTCCCGCCAGAGCCGAGTCTCTTTTTTGTTCTGAAAGTCTTTCCCTCTCTTCGTTCGTTCGAAGCATGCTAAGCTGCACCTCAGAAGGCACAAATGGAAAATGCGTACGCCGATAGCTTTGCCGCGCAGTTCGCGCTCATTTGGTGGATGTACAAGCCGGGGATTTGCGCGCCCACGATCTGTGGCGCCTTTGGCCTAAGCGAACAAAAAGGGAAAATGTTACAGTTTTGTGAAAGCATGTTGAATGTTGATGTAATGAGTGATCATTTTTCTATAAGCAGGACGACAGGCCGTAGATGTTGCAAATGTTTCATGCTTTCGTACACTATACAAAAAAATTTGGTAGATGAAAAACGCGGTAGTGGTTTGGAAAAGCAGGTAGATCTATAACAGTGTATAGCTTTCAATAAGGGTTTTGCAAATTTTCTACTCTTCTTCGTCTAAAAACAGAGGGACCGGAAGCCGTTTTGAGTTACGATCCGCTAAGTGCGCACTACGTGGCAAAGTTTTGGACATTCTCATCAACAAGAGCCCAACTACGGCGATTTCTTAAGTGAATTTATGATAATGTCCAGCAGTGACGGACCGAGAGGAGGAAAGGGGGAGACCCCCCCCCCCCCCGATGGGTTGCAAAATTGTGGAATTTACTTGCATGGTTATAAAATTGTTCCAATGACTTGTTTATTCTTGCAAACATTTAAAATAGTTTTTATTAGGTTGTCCGGAAATTGATGCAGGTTTTGATTCCCAACCGCAATAAGTCATATATTTCTCATTTTTGAATAGGTTGCAAGGTACTGTTCGATAGAGCAAAGCAAGCTCTACAAGATGGCTGTCTTGCTCTAGCAACAGCTCTGATTCACCTCGAGTTTCGAGCCAAAAACTAAAAATATTCAACTGCCCGAAAAATTGAGAAAAATCGTAACTCAGTTCGTAAAAATCCTACAAAAATTCTAACTTGCTCACGTAAACACAATCCACATAAGGCATCTATATACGCCGTTGCCGTATTTTTTTTCTGTGTTAGAAATCAAGAAAATGGAAATTTTCGTGCATTGCCAAAGTGGTGCTGTGCCGTTCGCACATAGGTAGTTGTATACTACAAACCTTTAAAAGTACGAACGCAAATTTCCAGCTCTCTACAAGCTTTAGTTCTCGAGAAATATCGAAAACAGTTTTCCCTAGTCATGTGGTCCAAGCTAAAATTTGGATTTCTCGCGAACTAAAGCTTATAGAGAGCTGAAAATTTACGTTTGTACTTCTAAAGGTTTGTAGTATACAACTACCTATGTGCGAACGGTGCAGCACCACTTTAGCAGATGAACGAAAATTTCCGTTTTCTTGATTTCTAACAGAGAAAAAAAATACGGCAACGGCGTATATAGATGCCTTATGTGGGTTGTGTTTACGTGAGCAAGTTAGAATTTTTGTAGGATTTTTACGAACTGAGTTACGATTTTTCTCGATTTTTCGGGCTGTTGGATCTTTTTAGTTTTTGGCTCCAAACTCGTGGTGGATCAGAGCTGTTGCCAAAGCAAGATAACCATCTTGTAGAGCTTGCTTTGCTCTATCGAACAGTACCTTGCAACCTATTCAAAAATGAGAAATGTATGACTTATTGCGGCTGGAAATCAAAACCTGCATTAATTTCCGGACAACCTAATAAAATTTTCAAAAATTGAGTCTAGCCTTGTAAAAAAATTTTTTTGAGGCCGCGGCTGCCGCCGCGCCCCTTTTTTCTAGATTTTAGGGGTTATGGACCCGCAATTCTAAGAAGCACCCAAAAGTTTTTTTAGTGCGTTGCTAGAGCTACGCATCTTCACTTGAAAAAAATGTTTGCCCCCTTTCCCCAAAACGAAAATCCTGCGACCGCGGTGTCTAGCACTGTAATTACGAATTGATATCACCTAGCCTCAACGAGGACGGCTGCCCATGAAAGCAGCCGTGCGATGGCGTACAAGCTCAATCATGAAGGCACTCAAACTCTTTTTCGCACCCGCTTCGCAAAGCGACCGTCTTCGTTAAAGAGATCAGCCTACATTCCATCATGAGCACTGCTTAATCGCGCTGATTGCCTCGAGTTTTCAACATTAATGGAGACGATTAGATAATTAGCCTTGGTTTTCCAAGATACAAGTGAGAGAAAGAGTAGAACACTTCTGCTAGGTTTTTTAATAAGTTCTTTCCCAATTTTTCTTTGGATTTTTCAATAAATGACTTTACTTTATTCGGAGGAGATGCATCTGTTGTTGAAAACTCGCTTTGCAAACTCATATGCGTCACTCCCAACTCAACAGGTACTAAAGATTTGTTGGCATCAAGAGAAGTCCGAGGAGGCAGAAAATCTACTTTTAAACATTTTCTCTTCAAATTTTATCGTTTTTTACTAATAATATCTTTTTTAACAAGCTTGCACTATCCAATATACTAGACCCTTATGTTTGTTTTGTCACTATTTCTGCTTGCTCTCACTCTTCTATCAGTTTTTTAATGCCACTTATCCAAAAGTCGGCGAAGCGGCTTTGCTGCGGCGATGTACGTCGTCTCGCGTATCTAAGCCTGTGTGCCCCCAACAAAATAAATTTTTGGATAATTAGTTCACGAATTCGATGATTTTATAGCTAAAGCACATCCCTTCTGTCTATTCTGGATTCTCGGTCAATCGTCCTATCCTTGTACTACCTTCAGATGCCCAAGGTCCATTGAAGAGGCGTTAGAAAGAAGACTTTTTTATAGTTTACAGATTTTTTTGAACCTTTTTATACTCCTGAACCGCTACAGAAGCTATAGCAATCATTCTTTACGCCCACCAGGTTTTTCGCGCTGTTTTGTAAGTAGTCTGACCTATACGGGGGTGACGGCAATTGCCGAAAACAGGTTTTTCTCATTGTTTTGCCAAATTTGATGCTGAAATACTTCTTGAATTCTGCTGGTCTAGGAAATCGAAATAAGGATTCGAGTAGAGCAGGCGTAAAGCTTTCAAACGGATATATACGTCTTGCAAAATGTGCAAAATGCGTCGCGCAAATTGTGAAAAAAAATGAGAGAAGAAATGGGACAGAACTTAACACAACCTAATAGTACCAAGGCGCGCATGGTCCGACTTAATGTAGATTGATGCAATTCGTCCACTGTACAATCCATCCGTTATACTTCTTCCTCTAATAGTTGTCGCTCTGCAGCAACTTTTTTTTTTCAAAAATTCTGGTGTACCTTGACTACTTGCAAAACTCTGAATACTTGTTAAGCTGGAGGCATTTATACAAGCGCAGCGTTTTCAACCGACACGCAAACTTTGGGCTCATAAGTCATCAACCACTGAAGATGGTTGAAGGGAATGGTACCAGTAAAAAGAAGAGGACAAGCTCTTAAGCAACGATGCTCTTAGATTTTTGGGTCTCCTTATTTTGGGGGCGAAATATGTCTTTTTGATACATGGAGTGATGTCTATATAGAACGGAAACGTGGAGGGTACGGTACTCACGCTCTCGCGACGATTGTGCAAAAAAACGGGAGTTCTGGTTCCTTTTATATAGTAGGATTTGTGAAGAAGTCAGCTGTTTTCTGGAGGCTTCCAGCAACAGCCTCAAAGAAGGAACCCAAACGGTAAACCAGTTTTAAAGAAATAAGTGATGTGGGTGGGGGGGGGGGGGTGGCTGCACGAACTGATTCGTGCACACATGTGACGCAGGAGAAACATCGGGTAGATTTTGTGACCCAGTGATTTTTCCCACATAAAAGAACGGTGCATGCTCAAGAGTGATTCTCTGCAGAATATTTCTAGTGTCTTACATTTCTTCCATATGAAAAATGATTACCAGCTTCCAATACACAAAAACTCGTTTAATGAGGACATTCCCAGCGTAAGTTAGTATGTAATCTACCCAATGTTTTAACAAAGGTTCGATACCAGTTGACGCACAAATAGGTGATCGAGACATGTTAGTATCCGAAAGGTTCTCACAATTGCATGCTTCGTTGCAGCGATCACATTGTAAACGATTGCATTCTAAGCAAAATACTGACAACGAAACGAAAGAGAATAATTTTCCAAAATTGGGAGTGCCCTCTTTTTCAGAACTTCGCATTCAGCTACAACCTGTGAGCGCGTATGAGCGAAGGAATGCGCGGAGAAATGCCTACGTGCTGCTACTGGGGAAGGGGGAGGAGGAGAAGGAGCAGGGGGCACCTGAGACGAGCAATGCGTGTAACATATGGCACGAAGCTCATATGGCAGTCAGCTCGAAGGGAGGCAGATTCAGTCTTGCGTAAACAGCACTACAACTGCCGACTTTCGAATAGAGCGAATATCTATCACTCCTGCCAGAGCAGTGCCATCAGGCCTGAAACTTGGTCCGAGGGGGAGGGGACGGAGGGGAGAGGGGTTACTTGACTCGCTTATGCTGAATATCATATCTATTCCGTACAGTATCGCCAAATGGGTTAGATGGGAGTGTACGGTGGAGTGCCACACATGTTTCGCTGAAATTTGGGTTAAAGGCTTATTCAATACCAGTGCGTCACCTCTGCTTCGCGGAGGTTCGCACTGGCTCTCCTTCATATGCCTCTCTCGTGATCGCATAATATTGATTTAAAACTCACCAAACGATGCTGAACATCACAAAGAATTGTAAACAACTGTTCATTCTTGAAGCATCTCTATGTAAGATCGGTAATTTTGAGTTTAAAAAATTTTCGCAAAGGAACAAATACGAATTTGAAAGACTTACTGAACTTGTTTTGGCTTAGTAGCCTTCATAAGAATAATAGTCACTTTGAGCTACATTTCCGTGCAATATCTTTTCAAATTTCAATAAACCCTTGCCAAATCGACTATCTACGCGATCACCACTTTTTGGCGGTTTTCGCAGAAAAACAAACTTTTTGAGCACATTTTGGGCTAGAATTCATGGAGAGCAGATTTACTTGTCAGGCAAATCATGACTTTGCAAAAAGTTGAATTAGCGGCCTAGTTTTTGCGTGCCAAAAGCAGCGTGGACTCGTTTAACGCGCCAATTTCGAAGTACCCGTTTATTGAACCGGCTCGTCCTTGCGCATGGGACCTACATGCTGGTGCGGTATGTTATGCACAATTGTAGCTCGATGGCTTGGCCGCAGCTCCTTCTATGAATTTCGTGACAGACAGACATGCACACACACGGACAAAAAGACAGACGCTAAGCGCTTTATTATAAGTTATGATGCTGATTTTCATGAGGATACCATAGGTCTACGATAGAGGGCAAAATCTTGAATTTGACTGATATTCGCTTTGGGAAATTATTGTACATGTTGATCACGAATATCATACTCTTTTTAAATCAAGATGGAGTTGGTTTTGGTGAAAACCCCTCTTACTATCAGCGCCAAGACACTGCAAACTTGAGAATGTTGTCAAAGAGTATATAGAAAAGCCAGCAAATTCCGCAGAAGATAAGCTGGAGATACTGAACCCCAGCACACATACTTTCCTTTTGGGACCTTTTCGCGGAGGTAAAGGGTCAAAATCATAGGCCGGCCTGAAAAGTTATGCTGGGGGGGGGGGGAGGTATCTGATGTGGATGATCACATATGTCGTCATTTCGCAAGGTAACTCCTTCGCATGAATATTTGTAATCTAACTTGGCGCGGAAAGCGGAAGGATGTTCATTCATTCATACGCTGCAAAACAGCGTACAGTCGAGTAGAATTTCCGCTTAATATGGTGTGCTTGCACTGTAAGTGAAATGCGGTAAAATTCTTCCACTTGCGCGCGCAGAATGCCGGCATTATTGGCGAGGCTAATTTTTTGCGCGCAAATTTTACCGCATTTCACCTACAGTGCAAGCACACTATATTAAGCGGAAAATCTACTCGACTGTAACTCCACATTGACGCGTTATTGCAGCGATCAACCACGATATTCGTCAGCCTGCTTGGAACTTTTTAGGCAAAGACTTGAAGCTTTGATTCATCTATCTACAACCAGCGTAACCCAAGAAAATGGCGCTATTTTAGAAATCAATATGATATTCATGATACACGAATTACTTCCAATGCTTTGTAACCTATGAAAGTCAGCAAAGAAACTCGGCCTTACAAAGCGCAATACCCGCCAATAACTTTCTCAAAATGAGACTGCTACGAAAAATGGGATGCACTTGTTTAATATAATCGTTGTCTGTTCTTCTTAATGCCATCAAAACCAATAGCTTTTTTGAGTTTTTCATTATCAATTTGTGCTTCTTATTGTTATCAAGACCAACAGCTCTTTTCTGTTGTACCCAAGTACCGCGCAGATAAAGTAGGCAATGCATTCTGATTGCTGAGAAGGTTTATAAATGCGCTTTGAGGTGCAAAGACCGTACTGCAAGTTCACCATAAAATATAGCAACCGTGACTGTGAAAAACGGCCGTGGATCAGTTTAGAAGCGGCTGATGACTGGAGCAACTTAGTTATTGTAAGTGTTAGCAGAGGCTCATCAAATTAAAAAGCAAACACAAGCATTCCAGCGAAAACCGGTATGCTACTATAGACGCTACGAGGTGACATGCTTTTGCTATGGCCATTTATGCAACGAGGGAAATAATATAAAGGCAAGTCTCCTATTTATTAGATTAATTACCGCTGGGTGATCCTGAATGTTGTTTCGTTTTTATGCTCTATTAATGTCGTTTGACTAGAGAGCTGGTAAAGTCTACCAATTCCTGAAATGAGCCTTTCAAATTTTGGATCTATTGCCATGCAGCACTATTAGCAAGGCCTCGAAATTTCCCATTTCTTGCAATTTCTAGGCTATTCGTCGGGCTTAGGGCTTATAGGGCCTTGGAGGAGCGTAAGGAGGTCAGAACAAGCTTTCCCAGGGAAGCTTAGATGAAAGGGTTGATAGCGAACGAGTATGCACGTACTATTGGGAGGCTCTGCCCTTCTTCAACGATAGTGCAAGATCAACCCCGATAGTGCGAGTCCTGTTTAAAGATTTAGGTTCAAAATTCTAGAGTTGCAGCTGCACACATTTGTAAAGTTCTTCGTCCAAAGAGGGCAGCAAGGATTGTCGAACCAGCTAAAATACCACGCAGAAAATGAGATCTCATACAACACCATAAGGGATACTTCATCAGTTCAAAAAATTAGCAAAAGACTACATGAATTGTGCGTTCGCAAACAAAAAGGCGTTTGATGAAAGGCAATACTTCATAAATTACATAACATTTTGATTCATTTAAAGCGAGATAAAATAGTAACGAATTGCCTGGCAAAGATGAACACAAATCCAATGCAATAATTCAAAAGAGAGGGGGCTTTACAGTCTGTCTCAATCGGATCAGGCCAAACCTCGGCTGAATTCGCACGCTCGCAGCGCCAGGATTGCGCGGCATACGCTCGCTGTCGCAGAGATCAAAGAAATTGAGTGCAGCCTAACTAGCCGTAGACGTGACGCAACGCAACCTCGCAACACGGGCTTCCGCCATTTTGGCCTAGTTGGGACTGGGGCAGACTGTACGTGATGAATAGCAAACCTTTGATCACAGGAAATATTGGCAAGAGAACTCATTGATGCAACCACTCAACAGCTAGTGAGGATTATCACCTGCTATTTGCTAAAGCATGCGACAGGAGGTTCGTAAGACATGCCCGTTCTACTTTCAACCTAATCTACAAGTCCGAAAGTACGCTTTACTTGAAAAGGTTTTTTAGTGAAGACTGCAACCGAAGAGGTGAGCATCGATCTACATGACTCACAATGAATGTGGGTTTTATTTTGCATAATCATCTCTATGACTCAAAAATCCCGTAATTCTTTAGATGATATGCTAATAGTAAGCAATTGTTGGTATTTTGCTTGTCTACTTATCTGTTCGTTATTTGTCTATTTATCGCACGCTTGGGATACAAGGCAACATGGTACAGCACGCAACAAGGCCGTAAAGTCGGAAAGCAAAGCGAATAAGAGTATTTTGTAGCGCAACAGAGTAGACATGGTTCATGGGTATCATCGAATGCTCTACAGTAAAGCTAAGAAAACAGCTGGCTATGGTCTTTGTATCAACTTTTGCCTGCGCTTTAGCTTCGGCTTGTCAACGGATGATACATACAATGGGCAGCGGAAAACTCAGATCTAGAAACCTTAAAAGGCATGGCTTTCCAAATTCGCCTTAGAGTCACAAGCTTGCTACTGGAAAACGTGGCTGTCCTCATCCTGTGAACATGTTTACAGAGCTAATTTCTGCATAATTTATGACAATCAATACTTGTACAATATTTCACTTAGCCACTCAAAAAATAGGAGTTGCAGACATATTGGATGTATGGGGGCATGTGTTAACATGCCATTTTGTTCATAACAACGAATTGCCCTCAATTTATTGATTTTTTGCAGTTTGCTTATATACGTTACTTGGAATGTTGAACCAACACAAACTGACAATGCCGAAGTTACGTCCCAGTATTTCTTTCTGCGCTGGTTATAGATCGAATTAGTTCGTGCAAAGTGACAAGTTTTCTGCAAATTTTCGCAAACACTAGAAAGTAAAACGAAAGATTTATGATTCAGAAAAGCTGCCGAGTACTAGCCGAACCTGCCGCTTAGCGGTAGAGAGCGGCTGATATGAAGTTTATCTTAACATATACCATTATATTACTTGCATAATCTTAACACTATCAAACCTCAATCGGCACGCTCGCGTCGGATACAGGACATTAGGATGGCGAAACTAACGAAACTGGCGCTCCTACGCCGACATTTGCGACAAACCGTACGCCTCTATCATTACTGCTTCATGCTATCTGTCCGCATGAGTCGAGCCCAATAGCGACCTAATGCCCTCTACTCGCTCGCATCTTTTTCCAAGTCTGTCACCAAGTGCGATGTCTGCTCCTCAAAAAATTTGCATAAATTTGAATAAAGGCGTATTTCAAACCGTCACAAAGCCCGTAATGAGATTATCTCGCAACACCATCTGACAAGAAGAGGGCGAATAGGAAGATACTTGCTTTTAGAAAGACGATGATAGTGAAAATGCATTCGTTAGAAGACCGATGAAAAAAAACAAGATTATGCAGGTATTTCATCTCGTCTTGTAAAATCAGTTGCACTGATATTTAGTTACAGGAAGGGCAGGAAAAGGGAGGGTATGTAAACGTACTGTTGCATTTGCGTTGTGTGTTAAAACCAAATTGCTCCCTTGCATATATATTTTTTGCAGAACGAAGTTGACGATGTATATCGTTGTTGGAGGTGCTGCTGTGCTTGTCATTGTCACACTGCTTTCGCTGTTACTTGCTCTATTGGTCGTACTAAAATCAAGAAAGAAATCGCGAGCTGCTGAAGAGGACGAGGATTCTGAAAGTAATGCCGCGTCGCACCGAACACCAAATGATTACGACCGTCTTGGAGCGGCAAAAGAAGGTGGTGGCGGTCATCGAGTAACATTCTCAACTCCTCCAGAGAAACTTGTTCGGGATAGAAGCAAGTCGAGTACGTGGGAAGCAAACAGCGTAAGGCGAGGGGAGTATTCCACTAGCGAAAGATTCGATGAAGGGCAAAGTACTAGCGAAGACGATAGCCGCTAATGAAGCATGTTGGTGTCAGGCTTATTTGAGACTCATTTATGTGCATTTCTATTGTAAATAAAGAAGTGAATCAATGAAAGAGAACTTGTTAATTGTGGATGGCCATTTTATGTAATGTCAGAATGAGATTACATCAGCTAAATACACACAAAGAAGCGCTATAGTACGGTTGTTGGTGCAAAGCATGGATGTCAATGCGGAGTTAGAGTTTCTTCATACTACGCCGCAGGACGCGGGTGCTGCGGCGTAGTATGAACTACGGGTGCTGCACTCGCAATGAAATATAGCTCATGGCAGCACAGTTTCACCGATTATGGATGTATTTCCATATTTGCTGCAAGTTCGTGTTCTGGGAGTGTTCCTTCACAGCGAGCGAGCTTATTCCCATTATGAGCAGTCTGCCGCAGGACGCGGCGTGCTGCGGCAGACTGGCGTCCTGCCGCGTGCGCCGCAGCACGCCGCGTCCTGCGGCGTAGTATGAAGGAACCCTTACAGCTGTACAGTCAATGTCAACTATGTACTCCCTTTCGCGTGGGAACTACGCATGCGCAACGCAAGGGCCCTGCGTGCGGACCTCCAATTATGAGGCTCATTTCAATGCCTGAGTCATACGCACGTGAACGTGTCGCGAAGCTTGTGGGGTTTACGGGGATGGGAGCACGTGATTAGCGACTATACGCGTTATGCCAAAACGAGCATCCATTCATGCGTGGTATCTATCTGAATTGTGTCAAGCATTTTGGGAGCAACTACGGCAAATTCATGAGTATTCTTCTGTGATCAGGTACTTGTGCTTAACAACATGTACTGTAAAGAAGTTTTTTAGGCCTCCGCCATAGGCAGGCGCTTTACTTCTCGAGGAGTATAGCATCCCTTCGATCGATACGCATGAAATTCACATGAAAGGGGCGATTTTGCCGATATCGCCCTTCGTTACTACAGGCGATCGCCAGTTTTGGCGAGTACACATTGGATAGGTATCGATTGGACAAGTGAAGACATGCTAGCAATCGACAGCCAAATAAAGTGCAATCGTCAACTTCAGCAACTGGCGACGGGGGGGGGGGGAGGTGCTATACTTCTCGTCCTCCTCCTGCTCCTCCTCCTATAGCCCCTGCCATACTTCGAACAATTCCCCAAATAGCGGTCGCCGCGCGATCGCGCCTGCCAGATGCAAATCCACCTCCGTGAATTTCCAGCGCATTCGCATAACTTTTGTAATCTTATTCGTACATGCCGAGTCTTTCTACACAAAGTGCTCTTATTTACTAGGAGAATTATGGCTTGTCGAATTCAGGCCTTAATGCAGTGCCAATAAGACCTAATCGCTATGTAAACACCAAAACGCCGTTGGTGGCTATGCAACAACTTGGAACGAGAGAAGGCATTGCAGTTAGCAATCGGTATGAAGGACTGATTATCCGACTTGCCCGATGAAGCCGAAATGTCTCCTGCTGCCAACAGCAGAGTTCATAGGAACAGTGAGATTTTCTGGATGTCAATGGGTTGGCGACCCACTTAGACAGGGTGTCCCAAATAAATGTGAACACGTTTGATCGTTAATAACTCTCCTACTTTCACGTCTTTCTCCAAGCTTGAGGAGCCTTTCTGTAGAGCGAGGTTCAACTTAGATTTACAGCATGGAGCGAATCACCAATCACTCTTCGTTACTGTAGGATTACGGCATAAACTTTCAGCATACAGCTCTACTATGGAATAGGCCTTTCAGAAAATATTCCAAAAAATCTGGAAAGTTATGTAGCAAGGTTTCCAGGAGTGCTGGTTTCACTGTACAACTTTTTACCAGTCTTTCAAGCTTTCTTAATGATGAATCACACCTCTGACGAACATTGGACAACGGTTGTTACCCTAATCCTGAACTAAGTTATGAAAGAAGCATTACACTGAAGTGCAACTTTCATATTCAGAATCAGCGACTTCGATTAGTCCCATCTGGCTTCTTTGATTTTCCAACTAAAACAAAAATCGCTTGAAATAAAATGCTTCACGAAGTTCATATCGTAATCTTACAGTAACAAAGAGCGACTGGTGATTCTCTCCATACTGTAAATCGAAGTTGAACCTCGCTCTACAGAATGGTACCCCAATTTCGGCGAAAGACTTGGAAGCAAGAGAGTTATTAACACTCCAACAGTGTTCACAATTTTTGGGATACCCTGTATATACAGGGTGGGGTAAAAGTCTGGGAGCCTATTTTGCAGTGCTGTCAATCAAGCAACTACTGATGATTTTGGCTCCAAACTTAAGGCACTTATTGCTGCGATCATCCTCTACAAATCACACTTTGGATGGCTGAAAACGCTTGCCATATCTTTTTGTAGGAATTGGATTTATCAAACAAATGCTTCTGCAAAGCTAAAAAATCGAAATTTTTGGTCTTCACAACTTATTTCATAGCTAAAGATACAGTGGATATTCTAGAGCACCTCGATGCACACAATGACCTTGCGCTATCAGTTCGTAGTCGTTGCGTTTGTCAGATATCATTCTTTCGAAAACGCAAAATAAAAATTTGCGAATAATACCTGCGTGCCAGTGACCATTTTTCTTGAAAAATAAATTTGAAAGCTATAGGAGCACAGCAGGCACTGAATTCTAGGCTGTATTCTTTCCATGAGTCTTCTATGCAAGCATGTACTTGAGTTCGATCGATTAAGCAATTTCAATACTTTTCAGATTACGATTCTTCGCTCCCTTTCGCGCAATCGCATCCATATTCCCAGTATGCGAGTACACTGGCCTTCAATAAAAATTCCAAAATTTTTCCCTAAACACTGTAAAAAAATTTTCTCGCAGTACGTTGTAGCCAAAAGCTTGCTCTATTACATCGCATGCTTGCCTGGTGAAAGAAACAGTTATCGTAAAGGCGTGGGACGAATTTAATTATGACTGCCTGCGTGCCACGACAGGCGGAGTTACCAAGATTTCGAAGGGCTGCTTTGAAGCCAGAAGAGGCAATCTCAAAATTCGAAAGAAGCGCTGTACTTGTACAGGTTCGATTTATGTGTACACCGAATTTTTTATTCCTAGGCACTTTCCTTCTGATTTTATCTGAAAAAGTATTAGGCTCCCAGACTTTTGCCCCACCCTGTAGATTGGAGCAACAGATAAATCAAATTTAAGCAAGAATCTGTAAGTAAAATTGCAAATTGCACGTTTAGATTTCCAAGACATCAAGACCATACTTCAAACGACACTTCGCCAACTCTTTTAAACGTCAAAAAAAACTCTGAGTGCCTTCCAATCAAACAAGCAGACAGCCTCCAAAAGGAGGTGAAAATTCGAGCAACGCGGATGCCTAATATGAAGATTGGGCGATGAAGCAAGAAAGGCTATATAAACTACTATGCAAGGATTTATAGAGCATCGTCGAGTTACTTTGATTACAATCGAGTAAAGCTTTGAATAGAAACTAAGACATGGGACGACTTTTTTCGAGATTTTTCATGCTAAGGCCCAGTTCCAAATATACAGTATTTATTTTTACTGTTTAGATTTCTATCAAATAGGTGATTATCGGTCGCAATTTGCCTCATAGATGCCGATTTTTGATTCAACGACCGAAAATTATCTAGTGCAGAACTACTGATTAATGTTCTATGATATTGCAGGAATGGAGCAGTTTCCGAAAGCAATCCTCAAGATGCCATATGCATCACTGGTCCGCCTTAGATGCTCAGTAAATAATGCAATCGATTCTCTCACCTAGCAACGTAATGCCATCGAAATTCTAATTACCCAGTAAGGATAGGAGTTTCCGAAACCGATGCCATCATTTACTGCGAACCTCACTGGTGATTCGTCGCTTCTGGATGACCACCGAATATACCCTGAATGAAGTCGGACGTCACTGCACTGCAGATGATTTATGGATCGCATTTGAGGGGAAGGTACGTGAGAAATATAATCTGGCCAAAATCACAGAGTTAATTTACTCAAGGTCTACGACTTGACAGCCTACTTTAGTTTACATCCGGGAGGAATCGCCATGTTGCGTCAGGCAGGAAAGGTACGTAAGAATTTGTTCGTGTCGTAATCCCCAAAATTAACAACATGAATGAACAGATTGGAGGCTCAATTTGATTTGGATTCTTTCTCAATAACGTTGTAGAGAAAGTTTTCATCTTGTTTAATTCCATTTTAGTCACGAAATTGTCGGAAAGTTTGAGACCACAAATGTGGATTACCGATGTAAATCATAAAAACGAGAGAAAAAAGTCAACATTCGACACCGGTTTTATCTACGTTGCCCACTCAGTTCAATTTTTATCTAAGTTCTCCAACCTCGTTCACCAAACAAACAAACAAACAAAAATCTAATACCGGTAACCTTCTCTTCTACCCAAAGAAAATGCATCATTATTTCTTTTGACAAATTCAACCCAGGGCCTGGCACCAGCTGGCACGGGACAAGCTGGATATCGTTTTTGGGGCAAAAAGCAAAGGGGGTTTCGTTTTTGTGAGCGAAGATATACGCAAAACTGGTGACGGCGACCTTTTTTTTAGTCGACGTTTCGTTTTTGGGGGGTTTTTAGGATTTTAGAGTGGATATAGTTGAGGATCAAGGAGACTTCGTAAAAATTCCCAAAAGTCAAGGGGGACTTCGTTTTGAAAATGTCCTGGTGCCAGCTCGTGCCGAGCCCTGATTCAACCCACGCATGATTTTTTTTACATGTACGCCAATGGCAAACGAGAAGGAGAGGCGGTCCCCAATCCTCCTAGTCATCTACCTTAGTTATAATTTTGTGCATGTGTTTTGGTTCCAGTTTACATAATTTCCATATTTTCAAATTTTTGATAATAAAAATTGACTATGTAAAAATTGCGTGGATTTCGGATAAAACTTCTTATACCCCGCCACTTTTGAATACCACTGAAAACAGCAAATGAATTGGAATGAAGAACTCGTAGTACACAATTATATCCCACAAAAGCATTGAAAACCATGTCAAATTTATTATTATAATCGCCTTCTACAAGTGGTTTTAGGATGGCTCCTATGCGATACGGTTAGTTCAGATGCATGGCATTGCATGGACAACAATCGAAAAGAAGTTAAAAGAGCATCAAATTGGAATATTGAAACGTTGATGTGGGACTGTATGAAGTGCGAACTTTCTCAAAAACAGGTCAAATATACAGATTTTTCTCTCAAGCTGTTATCGTTGATGATATTATCGGGTCACCTCGAAAGTGATTTCGCATTTTTGCACAAGCTCCACATTCCGCAAAACAAAGATTCATAAGAGATGGTAACATTTGCAGTTTTTCATCTACACAACTCTTTCCCATAACTCGCCATGATTTTTGATGGAATTTTCATCAAAACTACCGATTTTGGCAGGCTATTTCAGACCCATCACGTCAGATACCAAAAAATCTTCTAGATTTGGAACCCCTGAAAGTGAATTGCGGTTGACATGAATTTCAAAACAGAAAAGCGTCCAGGGATTGATGATTACGAACTGGAAATTAAAACACTTCTTAGAAAGAGGAAAAATGCTGCATCGAATGACACCCGAATTGCTCGTTTGACCATATAGGGAAGCTGACTAAAAACAATCCAAAAAATTAAAAAAAAAGAAATTGAACACCTTTGAAAGCAAGCTAAAGAAGGGCAAAGAATTGCTTGGTAATCTGTTTTGCTGTATCCACATGTTACTTGGACTTCTTCGGAGTACGAAAATTTAGAAAAAAGCGGAACTTAATTGCGGCAAAAACCAATCCCGTAATTTTTGGTAAATCTGTATAAATATGACCAATTGAAAGGGCAAAAACTACATCATCTGACCAATGTCTTTTATAAAATTGTTCAATGATCAACTCGATTCCTGATACCCTGACTTCCCTCGAGTCTAGGTGTATGTCGATGCATTTGTATGGTTGACATCAATGAAATGCTTGGCGAGCAATCTCTTACTCTACTTTCTAGAAGATTATAATTTTCGATACTCACCTACAACCGATGTCAATTGATTGGAAAGATGATTTTATATAAGAATTGTTGTCTTTCTTAGCATAAAAACTTTCAAAAGATTTCTAAATCAAATGATTTCGTGCGACAAAATCAATATAGCATCCTGTCTTACTCTGGAAATGGCAGACGGACTTGAATCACTAATTTTTCAGGACACGCCAGACAGAGTCTTAGCATCCAGATCTTCCACTGTTCCCTTAATTTATCAATATATGTAAATCAACGCAGATGCCTTATATGCTGCTAATATCACTTGCCCATAACACCGACGTAACATTGGATTTTCCTAGTAGCTACCCATGCCAAGGTGAAGCTCTGACTGCATGTTTCTTTTGAACTCTGCATATCTTAGTTTTTATTTTGTCACAAATTTAAAGCAAGTTTCAAGTTTTACTTGACTGTACAAGAATAACAATAAAAGCATAACAATGGACTAACAATAACTTGACTATTTTCCTATCCTATCTATAAAATAAAACTATCTCAGATCCGTACAAACATGGTCTACACCCAAGGGATCGGATCGGTCGGCACATGACACCATCAAATGTTACCTCCTGCCCTTCTTCTTTTCCGGAGCCACTTCTATACCGTGTGCTACCTGCCACTCACGAATAACTGCACTTTGCGAATCTTCGCTAGTGGGCGCATATCTGAACAATTTTTGTAGATTTATATATGAGTATGAGCTAATGAAATAGTCATCGCACCTAGCATATTCCATAGTGAACTCGCCCTTGCCTTCAGTGATCGATCGCAAAAGGGTTGTGTAGCCGAACATGTTCGCCAAGGGGCACTGCAAGAAAAACACCATGAGAAAATAATTAAGCTGCAGCCATCTTTAAAGCTTTTTCAGTAGTGAACAAAATGGACCTCCAGATGATGTTAATAGTACCAACAAGCAAGGGTAACCAAGGATTGATTTCTCGCTGGATATCTCGCACTAGGTTCAACTAACAAAGACTTACCTCACACACGACTGTGGTGTGGCCTTCAAAGGAATCTGTGGAAATTATGGTGGCATTTCGCTGTGTTAGGGACGTGACCATTGCACCCTGCAAATTATAAGGTAGGCTTCCTAGATAACGAACACAAACGCAAGGACATACCTGGAAATCTGAGGGAGCAGTGACCTCAACTTTCATAACTGGTTCAAGGAGCATCCATTCCGCTTTTTCGAATGCTAAAAAAATCATTTTGAAAAGTCCAAACCAGAACATATAACACCGTTCCCCTGTCGTCCTAATGAAAAACTGAACTGATTTTTTGAAAAAAAGAACTGGAACGATGTTTAACAGCTCGAAAGAGCGTGGAGTGGTAATCACGGCTGAGATATGAAATTTCTGACCTTCTCGCATCATATTCTGCATCGTGTTGATCATAGCAATCTCTGTAGAATCGACCGCGTGGGTAGCTCCTTCCTGCAGTCGCACATTGATGCCAGCAATACGCGCATTTATCAGAGGCCCTTCAGCTACAATCATATCCAGACCCTAGGATGGGAAAGAGCAGTAACTTGAGGCAATATCAAACGCAACAACAAACATCAATTATAGATACAAAACAAGATATGTCTGGATTGAGCTTCATGTCACAGACAGACGTTCATGCTGACGCTGAGAATACTTGTGGTGGAGGAGGAGGGGGAAGGGAATGGAGCCATATCACGTAATTTCCTTGGAAATGCCAAAAACATAATGTATATTCACTTTTTGCGCAACATAAGCTTTCAAAAGTTTTACACAGAAAAGCATTATTTTTGAAAATGTGGGTGAGTATGCGTGAGGACAGTGAAGTCTGCATAGGAGAAAGCATGAAATTTTAGAAGCTTCAAGTTCTTCATTTGTTCATTATCTGATCAGCTTAGATATAATACACGTCAAAAAGAATTAAAAAATCGTTAGCCTCATCAGCTGCAAAGATAGAACAGATATAATGACTGCAATGAATCGATCCGTAGTTCGTCATACCTTTTTCAGTGCTGGTAAGAGACTTTTCGGAATATCGTTTCCAAAAGTTTCATCGCTAAATACGACTTCGGTGTTCCTAAACGGAAAATAACATATTGATGATGAGAAAGAAGCAGCGAAACCATTACTTTTCAGCAGGAAGAGGGTCAATGACTCCACCAATCTCTCCAAACTGGCCCTGACCTCCGGTTTGTTTCTTATGTCGATAGTGGAACCTAAACGCGATATCCGGCAAAAATAAAAGCTTGATTACACTACATACTTGTATGGTTTCACGATGCTCTCACGGTAAGCAACAGTTGGCTTTCCGAGCTGAACAGGACAGTTAAACTCGCTCTTCATCCGTTGAGAATAGATTTCCTACAAGTAATCATCTCAGTGCTACACGGCAAAATGGTGACGATGACTTGTTACCAGATGGAGCTCTCCCATTCCAGATACGATAGTTTCCTTCGCTTCAGCGTTGTAATGCTTACGAAACGTAGGATCTTCTTTTGTGAAACGAGTAAGGGCCTAAATGTCCTATGCGTGTGTTAGTCAATCACCAACTAGTCCTACCTTTATAAAATTATCGCCATCTTTTCTGTTAATTGGCTTGATCGACATGGAAACCACTGGCTCTGGTATATGCATAGACTCCTAAATACAATTCATGAGACTGGGATAACGTTGCAAGTGAGAACGTACACAGAATGGCTGTGCGTTAGGATCACTGCAGAACGTCTCTCCAGAGTGGCAGTCAATACCAAAAATTGCGCAGATATCACCAGCAAAGACAGTGTCTGTCTCCTAAACGAACTACATGCAAGCGCGTCATAATATGTACACGAAGTATGAGACAGTCGTGAACTAATGGGTAAAAATTTAATGTGAGAGGTCGAAAATAATCCAATATTCAGTGAAAGTTCAAATGACGCTATTATGAAAAAAGCAAAGCGCCCTTGGAGAAGAGGATGTACGTAACCGCAACTATACTAATAATGGGAAAACCAAAAAAGGAACAAAAAAAACGAGATTTTGCTTTCCATGAGAAAAAATTCTTTTGTTCCGATGACTAATTTTAGCATATTTTTGGGATGATTTTTACTTGATTCTGCGACCAAAGCGAATGAAGTCTAAAATCACAAGAGTGGGTATACGAGAATTGCTTGAGTAGAAATTTGTTCACCTCCATCTCCGCAGCGTGCATACGAGCTAAACGTTGCACACGTACGCGTCGTTTATCCTTCGAAGCATATATAGTGTCACCTTTGTTCAGCTGCCCTTGATACACTCGAAAATAAGTCAGCTGCCCATATCTGCCAGCCTGCACAAAAAAGACTCGGATAAATCAAAAGCTAGTTGTGCTAATCACTCACTTCAAGCTTGAATGCCAGACCAACAAAAGGTTTCTGATTATTTCTATCGGGAGACAAGATTATGGTGGCCTCTTCACTAAAAACTGGATTATGAGAACGCGATTGTTAAACTATTCGTATACGTATTTGAAATGAGGATTTGAAGGTTGGAAAATGTAGCACTGCAAATTCAAACTATGCTATTACTTAAACGAATTCGAAAACTAGTAATATCATACACTTAGAAGATTGGAGAAGAAAAAGCTCACGTACTTTCCGTTTTTGATATTCGCTCGATTCACTACTTCGCTTGGATTTGGCAGATACCGCACTACACTATCAATCATCGTCTGTACGCCCTTGTTCTTCAACGCTGATCCTAGTAAAACGGGCAGGAATGTTCGCTGAATTACCATTAGGAAATCCCAGCAGCGAAAGATGTGCAGCTACTTACCTTTATGACCGACCTCCGGATTGCCGCATGAATCTGTTCCGCGCTAGGATTTTCGTCATTGAGAAACATTTCGCCCATGGCATCGTCACCGTTCGCGATGTGCTCTGTGAAAATGCAAAAGTAAAAAAAAATGTTGTGGTATCATAGCACTACATACCAATCATTTCCTGTCTAAAGTCTTTCACTTGTGCCCTCATATCTTGTGGCACATCATCTCTCCTCAGGATCAAACCATCTTTTCCTTCGTAAAATATAGAGCACTCTTCGATCAAGTCGACGATTCCACGAAAACCAGAGTCCTGATGACAAAGGTACATGAAGTGCCTAGGTGACAGCACTACGAACCTTGCCAATCGGTAAATGGATGAGAGCAGCATTATGCTTGAGTTTGTTACGGAGCCCATCCAACGCATGAAGGGCATTTGCTCCGGTTCTATCCATTTTATTGACAAAACAAATGAAAGGAACATGGTATCTGGAATTACAATTGAAATCTGGTTGTCATCAAAAACACGAAAAACAGTCTAAGATATTTTTGAGCGTAAATAGCTACCTCTGGTCCAAAGTCAAGCACGAACACGATGAATAATCAACAAACAATAACAAAAATAGAACAAGAATAACAATTTGCAAAGTATGAAGAACATACCTATTAAGTTGCCGATTGACGGTAAACGTTTGCGATTGCACACCTCCAACTCCACATAGTACTAGCACAGCACCATCAAGTACCCGTAATGCTCTTTCTACTTCGACAGTAAAGTCGACATGACCTGAAACTTTACTTTAATCTGACCAAACCAGTATCCTACTGAAAACTTGTAAGAAGTTTGGTGACTAGCTACGACTCGCTAAGCTCAAGACTAGAGCGACTCAATAAGGTCTCAAATCAATGGAAAGCAAAAATGATGATCTCTTACGCCTCGGGCATTTCACGCGATTTCATCTCCTCGCCATTCCTCAACAAGACAAGTGTTACAAGTCCATTGTGTACCGATCATTTTGCATTTCAGCTGTGATAGTTTTACGACACGACTGATTGTGACTAACTATCACAACTGCTGCAAAGATCGCCATGCAATAGATCCGTAACAGTTGTCTTATCGGGAAAATTCCTAGGCGACGGAATCAAATAAAGAAAGGAAAAATATTAATAAGGCATTACTGAGCCGAAATGCTTCATACATTCGTGCGATGGCAAAATTTAACGCGAGTGGAGTGGCATTCGATTTATCCAATCAGAAAGAAAATAAACACTCGAAACCTGGTGTATCGATGATGTTGATATTTGTTCCATGCCAATCTACATAGGTTGCGGCAGACTGAATGGTGATCCCTCGCTGTCTTTCCAGTTCCATGAAGTCCATAGTGGCGCCCACATCATCTTTACCACGAACCTTGAACGCGAATAAGATCTACTAGATATTCAAGTATAATATCAAAATCAAACCTCATGCATAGAGTCAATCCGACCAGCATAGAAAAGAATACGCTCAGTTACAGTTGTCTTCCCAGAATCGATATGGGCAGAGATACCTCAAATCCAGCAAAATAATGGAAAGTTTGGAAGCAAGCAAGTTCTGTGCATAATGCTAACAGTGGAATGCAGCCCTATGAGCGCGAAAACGGCTAAAAGGGGCTTTAACGGAGGAGGGAAATTGCAGGTGGGCGGGGCTGTTCACATAGTGACGTCACTCTTCCAGCTTCAGGAGCGATCTTCTCGCTTCTGCTAGTCGCCCTATCATCACCACCAGCCAACTGCGAAATGCATGACATAAAATCGGAATCGAGAAGATGGCTCCTAAAGCCTGGGAGAGTGACGTCACGGTGTGAACAGCCCCGCCCACCTGCGATTTCCCTCCTGCTTTAGGGCTTTTTCTGGCGTTTTCGCGCTCTCCAATGTGGTTCATCGGATTCAGCAGGGCGAATAGGTCCAGGTAAGCACATAATCTCGAAATCGACTTTTTGCTTGGACACTGCCTTTAACAGGCAGGAGGTACAATCAACAAATAATACAATGGGCTTGAGTTAAAAAAAAAAACACGTGTTGTACATATACCTAGAGAGGCAAAAACAAAAAAAATACGTGTTATGCCTCAAGTGAAGTCCTCACTGCATATTAGCTCTTATAGTAGCATATATCAAGAAGTTTTATGTTACAGTCGCACTCACCAATGTTTCTAATCTTTTCAACAGGTTTAGTAGAAGTAGATGCACTGGGAGCAGGTTGGGCAGCATTCGAAGTACACGCTCGAAATAAATGCTTCCGTGCAGTGTTTTGGATTTGGAGAAACTGCAAATTAAACTCTGTATGAAAGTAAGTAACCAGCAAAAAAAACTCACAGCTCTCCTTCCGGTGAGACCCAAGGTCGACATGGCCCAATGTCAGCCAGAAGGCCACCAAACGGCACTGAATTGTTGGTTATAATACGTTTTACGAAAAAAAAATCAGCGTACAACACGAAGAAGATCGAGCAAACTGCGAAAACAGATGCAAACAAAGCAAAAGAAGCTCAATAAAAACATGTTAAAATCCAACATGCTTTTCGGCGCCATGATGTCCAGAGATTACCGCAAATATTCTACTACTGAACAGTACTTAAAAGAGTCAATTGGAGTTTTACCGCTCCTCTCCCCCTTTCCTATTCACAGTTGCCCATCTCGGACCTAAAAGTTTGATGCTGGGTGACGTTTTTCGCTAGCGCGATTGCACAAATTCCGCACACTGAACCCCAACCTCATCCAAAGATTTGCTTTTTATAAATTTTTCCAGGTCCTAGCTCCATGCACTGCTGAAGTAACGCCTTTCGGATTCATATGGTTGTCTGCCAGAAAACCTTATTACCTAACAGTAAGTGAATACGTGGCTGAAGTAAAGTGAACAAGGCCCAGATGCGCGGTCGCACCGCTTCCGCGTGACTGGTGAAGTGCGTTCTCCTGCACTTTCACACGTGGCATATAGCGTAGTTATAAAGGGGATCCCGCTCAGCCAGTGGCGGGGTGACTCCGGGTTGAAAATGGCTGTATGTATCGGCCGCGACCCCCACACCTGTTTTTTGCCGCCGAAGACTTCTTTACGGGGAGTTTTCTGTGGTACAAGAGATTGGGTTTGTCGAACACCCCTCGTGGAGTGGCGATAGAGGCACAGTTTAGACAAGCGCCCGTCTTATCTAGCCACTTCGTCCATTGCGTCGTAGGTTGAAGCACTCGAAGCGGCCGACAACGGCCGCAGTAGCATGAGTCAACCTACACCATCAACCCAACCTTAGCCCTTTCCTTACTGCCTTGACCGCATGGACAACATTTTCATGGCACACATTCCGCAAATGTCAATGGGGCTGCAAAGAGCACAAGTCGCCTTACTACTGCTTAATGGATTTACCTGTTGCTTGATGCCATATCAGATCTGACGACAAGCATAATCATCCACAGTCAAGCTTCTTAACATCTTCTCAAATTGAAAGCAACCTTACAAGCAGATATTATGAGATTTGATGACCCATCTCCTTGTGAAAGTCATGGCAAGTAGTGATTTAACACCAACAAGTTAACATAAGTAACACACAAATTCGAAGAAACTACGTTGAGGTACAACAAAAGCAGAACAACATGGACAGCATATCTCATCCTTCAGGCAAACAAAATCGGTTTGAACATTTGAGCAACACCGTAGGATAGCTTCCGTAGAACGACAAGGGAAATCACAGTTGGATTTTAGTATGTTTAAATCCCGTCAAACAGAAACCACGGATATAACAAGAAGTTGAAAATATTATGTAAAGCAACAATTCAATATACAAAATCGCAAGAAATATGTTGAAAGAGAATCGGCAAAGAGCACACTGTATAGAGGCAATAACGCGTAACAGAAAAGCATAGTCAGCGGAAAAAGAGCCGTCATGTACTAAAATCGGAGTTGCTACAACAGAGAAACAACTTCAACTTCCGTGACCAATGAGACAATGTTCCTCATTGCACCTTCCCAAACACTAGCTATGAGTATATGACCCTTTACGATACAACTGAAGCTGCACGATTCCAAATATCCAATGACAAGTGTGGAATGAGATGAAGGAAACTCAAGAGCACAAATCACAGCGAATCTCAACGAAAATTAGCTAGCCTATGTGAACTATGCTCTATATGGCACTTGTGTATAATCCTAATCAACGCTATCCTCTATTGTATTCCTCAAAGACCTTTGTATGCAAGAGGCTGTTGACGGTTTCCTCCGCAAGTGCTTCTGACTGATGTAGTGCTATTCGCAGAACACGTAGTACTCGACGAACTACTCGTAGTTGTTTTACAAAACTAAAATATATATTCCTTGGGCATCGACATTCGCAAAAAGCTTTTAAAGTGTTTACTTCAGAAAACTAAACCCACTATTGCAGCTTATCCTCAAAAACCTGACGATGGGGACTCTCTCTGATATGATGGATAACGTTAAGCAATTTATCGTGCCTTCTTCTGAGCCTTGGCCGATTGCTGAATTCAACTAACCAGCAACGGAGTCAAAAGTGCGCTATCACAACGGAGCAAACATACCGCGTAACACAAAGCCGACCACAACTAGTCAGTGCAGTTTTCCATCGCAGCTGTGAAGAGCAGTGTGAAAGGATGAAGGAAAGGATGTTGGGATGAGAGATAGGTAAAAGTTCAGGAAACTTCCAGGTGGTGTTCGTCCTGAAGCAAAGTAAAACCTGCACCTACTAGTAGGCACAAAATGTTTCTCTGAGCCGCACAGTCTGAGCCATTAAAGGCAGTGTCCAAGCAAAAGGTCGATTTTGAGATTTTGTGCTTACCCGGGCCTATTCGCTATGCTGAATCGAAAAATCCACACTGGAGAGCGCGAAAACGGCGAAAAAGGGCTCTAACACAGAGGGGAAATCAGAAGGTGGGCGCGGTCCTCCCCACTGCGAATTTACGCGTCAGGGTTTCGAAGCGATTTTCTCGAATCCGCTAGCCGCCCTGACATCACTATCGGTCAAGTGCGAACGATTGACTTGAAACCGGAATCAAAAAGGTCGCTCCGGAAGCTGGGAGCGTGAATTCCCAGTGGGAACGATCCCGCCCACTTGCTCATTTTCCTCCGGCGTTAGAGACCTTTTTCGTCGTTTTCGCTCTTTCCAATGTGGATTTTCGGATTCAGCATCGCAAATAGGCCCGGATAAGCACAAAATTTCAAAATCGACTTTTTGCCCGGACACTGCCTTTAAAAACATTATTTTTGATTGATCATACGACAGAGACGCTGAATAAACTATCATAAAAGACGCGTCGTATTGTAGCATACACATACAAATATCAAATAATCGGAAACAAAGTTGAGCTTGAGATTAATCCAATCAAAAAGAACAAGTCTCTAATAGTAATAAAAGGAGAAAGTACACAATAAAAAACTCACTGGTTTGAAGTAAAAATGACGACAGCAGGTATGCGATCGAAATTGAAATCATACGGAAGTTCATTACGTGAGGTGTCCAACCTGATAAACACAATGATAGAATTGCAAGTGCATTTGCGCAATCACAATCTGTATATGATAATCAAAAATTAAACAGCGATCAAGTTCTCGAGCTAGTATAATTTTGAAGTGGCAAAAACTTACACACAGAACTCTATAAGGTCTTTGGATGAGGAGAAATAATTTGCCACATTATGATAGATATGCAAGGCTGTTGCTGAAGGTGCATGCCAAACACCGCCAGAAAAAAACACAACAAGATCTTTGGAGAAGTTCCCCTATAAGGAACGGTTATCTGCATTTGCATATCAAGCGATTACTTGAGGAGAAGCTTTATGGCGACTATTTCTTACACCCTCACTTACCCTAATCGACATCAGTTCATGAAACGCTTCAAGATTGAGACGCCTCAACGACTGCTTCTGCCGTGTACGAGGATGAACTTGGTCGGGCTTTCTGTGTGCATTTACGCTAGATACGAAGCTTTCACCCAAGGTCATCCGGTGTAGCCCATACCTGATGTTTAGCTCTTCGCTTCTCAAGTGTCCCGGCAGGAGATGCGAATGAAAATCCTTGATAAACTTTCGCAATCGCTCCCTCAAAAACAAAAGACTTGAAAATAACCAGCACGATCCTGACTTACTGCGACAAAATTCCATCCATTATAGAAAACAGTCCAAGCCTCGATGTGATTGCCACTACTGCTGGTAACTAAAAAATCCTGGATAGCAAACTGACAAAAAATTTATATGACTGACATTAGTATCATTTAGGCCCCATTTCTCCAGAAAATATGAGTAGTGCAATGAATCCAATACAGCAAATCTCAAAGTATTTCTGTTCTGAAAGAAGACAAATCAGTGTGAAGAAAAAATATAATGAACTCACATCTGAGCAAGCCAAACCTCGCACTGATAGATTTGTGTGAAGATAGGTACTGCTATGTTCACCGAAAGTCTGAAAATCATAAATGACATTCATGAAATTAAGAACGCAAGCAACAGCCCTACTACTTTGATCACGCGCAGCTACGGTAGTCTCCAACGGCGGCGAATTTTTTTTTTTGGGGGGGGGGGTATTACAAACTTCCGGAAACGGCGATTCTATGAGCAAGAAATTTTCGAAGCTAGTTCGAGTGAAGGACGACCTCACACTATTTGAGTTACTTGTGGGTGAAATAAATTGACTGCGATTCCATAACCCAAAGAGACAAAAAAGGTGGAAGGTAGAAGAAACCAGCCACTAATAGCCATTCATGCGAAGGAAAAGAAAACCAATGGGCTGCAGCAATCAAGACAAAAGCCTCTTGATGTGCTTTCGCTGTATTTCTTGCGTGTAAACATGGGGACAATAAGACAAACAAACACGAAAACCAGTGAACTGATGCCTACCTCATTGATTGTAGGGTACTTCATGTATTCGTGCAAACGACCCCGCATACATAGATCAGCAACTTTCACCTCACGAGCATGGAGATTATGAGACGCTGAATAATACTCATGACTTCTAACTGATGCCATGGGAGTATGTGTTTCGCAGTGTGGTGCAAATAGAATATGAGCGAACAGACCAAAACTCAGTGAAACTAATCAGAAAATAAGAAACAATGTGAATGAAGGCTTGTAAATCAACAATCAACAAAACCAGTATGTAATAATAAAAAAGCTGATCTTTTATGAAGAAACTCACAAACTGATTTCTGCACTCGCGTCAGTTCCAGCTGCGAAAATTCTTCATAATTCGCACAGCATCGTAATAATACTGCATCTAAAAAAGAGCATAGCAATCAAATCTACTCATAGTTTCCTGAAAAGGAAACTCGCTTGCTCTTAGGCTTCCATTTCGTACTGCTATGCATTGGTTTGTTGCAGCCAGCACCTCTTCCGTCCAGTGGCTCCTGCGTCTACGCCCCTCAGATTCGGCTTCTTCACTTCTCTTCTCCTCATCTTCCCAGTGGTATTTTGCAGAAGAAGCACATGCCATGTTCCAGTCCACAGATGGCAACAGTGAGCGACAGCATGAATCCATCTACAGAAAAAAAAATACATTCAGTCAGTCGAGGCTGAGCGATAACTTGCAAAAACATGACCGGAAGCCAGCAAAAGTATGTTTGGCCGTTCACAATAGATTGACAATTCAAAACTTCGATAAAAACTCTCGCGACTAATATCCCGTAACCCTGCTGATATCGAAGCTCATGTAAGAAAGAGGAAGGCGACGATTATCTTCGCATCACCACACAAATAATCGAGCCACTGGACACTGGATGGTACCGCCTTATCCAGCATTCCAAAAACCATTTTGTTTGAGTCAATTGAATTTCCCCCTCAGAATGAACAAGACTGGGAATGAACCTATGATCGGCAAACCTAGGTAACTACGTGTAAATGGACAACTCATGATCGATGGCTTCATGAATAATCGCTTGTAATTTTGAAGTAGATTTCTGAGTCTTCTTACTTGCTTACCTTGACTATTCCTTCTGTAGCTTCAGCGCATGCCTGCTTATCCTTTAGAAGCTCATCGTGTAAGGACGGTGTACTAGTGGTCACCGGATCGTGACTCATACGCAAAATGCTCTCCTGTTCGCAGTTGCAATATTCCTTGGCCAACTGAAACCTAATAACCATGTATACGGAGTCGTCTGAAAAATCCATCTCCTTCAAACTCACCTCCGAGAAAAGAGTGACGTCCGGTTGCGCCCGATAGATACGGGTTAAAGGGGTGATAAGCAGCAAGACAGAAGATTTGTTGAGTAGATGCCAAAACTGAGCTGTCATCAGTTCCGTATTTCTATCTGTAAATACAATAACTGAGGGCCTGAAGCAACACATTTTACATCAAATCACCGACTACATTTCATACTACATTGAAAAGAAGGTAAAAATTAAGTCTCCATCACCAACTGAAGTGAATCCATCTGACAGGAGCTACCTCTGCACGCTTCTCGCGAACCCACTCCACCAGATTTTCAGCCGTCTTCGATTTTGTGAAAGGCCAGGAGTATACATGACCTGAATTTTCACAAATAAAGAAAAAAATTAAAAATTAGAACACAGATTAGCAATGGGATTTCATCGACGGAGCGTACCCTCAGCAATGTATAACTGTATGTCACCCTCAAATCGCATGCCCAACTGGTGAGCTAATTCGTTGCGGGTGACAGTCACAAAACATGTGGAATCGTCTTCTAAAATAGAATAAGACACTGATGCAGACTATCATGAATTGAGTGATTACCAGGTGTGCCTGTCATCAACATCATACCAGCCGCAGCAAACACACGATACCCTTCAGGTGTATGCATATCCTAAATCGCGCAGGCTTTGACTATGAATTTAATATTAACCACCTTTGTAATGAACCTATCAAAGTGAGCTCCAAAAGATGACTAAGAAGAAAACTTTGAAAAAAAAACCCAAGTCGGCTGTCACTTACCTTAAAAGGGAAATAACCGACAACGAGTGTATGGTAGTTTTTCTTCAATGAATCCAGCTCCGTCATCCTATCGACGCGTCTTAAGGGGTTTCTCACATTCACAATCCACCTGAATTGCAAATATTGCTGCAAAAAGTTCAGTTGACCCAGAATGCAGAAAGTGATGAAGCATAAATTCATTATTCAAATCACTTTGGAATCCCATGAGATACGATCAAGCTTTCTCATGCAGCAGAGTTTTGCATCTTTAGAGGAAAGAATAACGAACCTATACAAATGGTCCGTAGAATGTTCTCCTTGATAGACAGAATGTACCGAAGATGAATAAGCAACTATTATTGGATACTGAAAGATTTTGTACGCTTTGCGGCAATCTCCACCAGTTGTCCAACAGTTTACACCGACAATACGAATCTGGAATTTTTTTAAATTATCGCCTATACTCTAACGTTGACATTCGTAAACACTTACATCCCTATGATTACGTAACATAAGAGCTACCACTTCGAATGGATGCCTGAGACGTTGCGAATGATATGACCACGGAGCATAATACATGGCTACAAGCAGGTTAGTATGCTGAATTGCCCTGAAATAAGCATAATTACGATGGCACTACGTGACTATTGCGCAGTGATTGAGATTTTGGAACCATAGGGCCCTGGCCGGAGGGACCCGTCATACTTCGCCGAAAAAAGCCCAAAAAAGTCCGAAAAGCCCGAAAGCGCCAGAAAGGCCGGAACGCTCCTCCCATTTGGACGCTAAGGCTGCGTTCATACTGAGCCCGAAGTACGAGAACAGTTTCAGCACAGCGCTCTTTTCAAGCGCTGAGCTGGAACTGTTCCCGGACTTCGGGATCAGTATGAACGCAGCCTAAGACATTGTGTTCATTTCGCAAACGAGTCTTTTTGCTTCATTTTCTGTCGTCTGCACATCGAGATAATGTCAGATTTCCACCAAAAGTTCGTTTCTGTGTTCCGGCTCTTTCGGGCGTTTTCGGACTTTTGAGCTTTCTTCAGCAAAGTGTGACCGGTCCCAGAGTCTGCTCAAAAGCACGAAACCGGTCAAGAGCTCAAAATCGCTCAAAAGCGCCCAAATTTCTCCAACCTCTGTTCGCGTTCTCGCGTGAGGAGAGATAGAGAAAGTGAAGAGAGATTAGAGAAATTTGGGCGCTTTTGGACCTTTTGAGCACTTGTGAGCGTAGTTTGGCCGGGGCCTAACAATGTTGCGAAAGTATCACCAGAAAGACTTCAACGATATTCTAAAATCAAGTCTTTACCTCAGACACGATTGACACTGAATGCACGACTATACAAGCGAAAAACAATGAATTTTCCACTGGTGATTACCGGTTGTAGAGTTCAAGAGCCAAAAACCTTTGACGCTCTGATGCCGTCGAACGCACCCGTATACAGGGTGTCCCAAAAAAATGTGAACACTGTTTGATCGTTAACAACTCCCATGCTTTCATGTTTTTCGCTGAGCTTGAGGCTGCATTCTGTAGAGCGAGGTTCAACTTAGATTTATAGTATGGAGCGAATCACCGTTCTTCATCACTGTAGGATTACGGTAGGAATTTTGACAAGGATTTTAGGCCATTGGAGGCCATATTCTGAATCGGAACAAAACCAAACAGGCCAAGAACTCTAATACTATGGTAATGGAAGCCGCTGATTGCGAATATAAAATTTCCAGTTTACTGTGATGCTTTTTTCCAAGGTAATCCCAGGTAAACGTAATAATTGAATTCCAGCATTTGTCAGGAATGTGATTACACCGTCAAAAAAGCTAAGAACGCTCATGATAAGTTGTGCAGTGGAATCAGCGTGCGCAAAAACCCTAGTATATGATTTTTCAGATTTTTTGGAAAAAAATTTATTAAATGGCATATTTCACAATGGATTCACATGCTAGAAGTTCTTACCGTAATCCTACAGTAATGAAGAGCGATCGGTGATTCGCTTCATACTATAAATCTAAGTTGAACCTCGCTCTACAGAACAGTGCCTCAAGCTCGGCGAAAGACATGAAAGCAAGGGAGTTATTAACGATCAAACAGTGTTCACATTTTTTTGGGACACCCTGTATATTTTGTTGTACAGCTAGCCAGGATGCTTTCAGAGACGATCCCCCTCTCATTTGAGTTTCAGAAGATGTGCCTATACTTTACAGTGACAAATGTAGTCCTTATCACACACAATTTCTGAGAGCAAGTGCGCACGATGTTTAGAGCGCATTTTGCCGCGCCGCTCGGATAAGAACGCGCTAACGTTCCTACATGCTAAACTATTTGCGCATTGGTACATCAAGAATGACATGAAAAGTGTAGCGCAATCAACGCTACTTCGGATAGATACAATTTCCAAACTTTGGGAAGTATTAAAAAGAGATTATTTGAGCTATTTGTATCCTGTGCTTTCTGGATATTTTTAAGAAAGTGCTAGTTTCCTAAAGGTGTCAAAAACGGATAAGTCGCACTATATGAATAGCTCATTTGTACTACAATAATTCGGTAATAAACACACCTATCCGGTCGAAACTCTCCTGTATAGTAATCAGTCAGATATGTGTTGCTAGAATTTGAAAAGAAGGGACGAGGACCTTTGGGCTTCAAAATAGTGGGTCGTGAATAAACATCTCTGAAACAATAGGAACTGAGAACTCGTCATTGGCAGAATTCAACGATCTTGGAGTTAAAGATAGGACACTGAAGTTGCTCGCTACCTTGAACAAATACACGAAAAGTACCTACGCGATAAAATTCCACAAGGTGTCAGATAACATAAGAGCCAGTAAGAAAACGAGGTACTTCGCCATATTTCTCGGAGTGAAAGCTTTGAAGAAGAAGTCTACAATCCTCACATCAAGAGGTGCGCCTGAAAGAACAACCAATGGTTGAGCATCGAATGACAAAGAAAAGAAGATTGTTTGTTCAGCAAAATACAGAAAAATCTATGTTAAGTCTGTCAAAATAAACATTAGAAAACACGCAAATGGGCCAAAAGTATTTATTGCGCCAAAATATACAACCTACTGTGAGGGTCATAAATAAAGGTGAAAACCACAACTGAATGGAAGAGCGATAACACGAGAAGCACACGTTGTGATGACGTGTACTCCCGCTACCATGCTCGTGAAATGGGAAATTTGCCGAAAATGGCACAAACGGTCATATTGGCCCTCATTCAATTTTAAAAGCTCTAACATGTTAGTACCAGCTACAACATTGCGCAAAAATATTGATTGATCTGGATGAGCTACTCAACTTTGTGAAAATGCGCTGACTGCATTTTCAATTCGGAATGTTTGAAATCCACTCCTCCCAAAAGTAAGTAGAGATTCGTCTAGAGGTTCATTAGATTATCCACAGCGCTCCTCTATCAAAAGAACATGCGGAAATTCGTTGTTCTTGAACAGCTGCGTGCGAAAAAAGGGACAAAATAAATGTAGCCTTTCCAACTTGCACAATTCTTCATTTGTTTTGGGCAATTCCCCAATTTTGATCGAGAAAAGGGATAGTTATGTTTTGAAAGCATATAAACGACCTGTTTTGAAATGTTGAGCCTTGCTTGGTAGATATAATTCGTCAGAATCTTCGCTTTCATTCGAATCCTCTGAACGATGAAAAGCAGCGTCTAAAATTGCATCCTCAACGATGTCTTTGGTTAGTTTGTTGACAAAGTCTTCGAATGCCTCGTCTGAAAAAGAAGCACTTCAAAAAAGCAGAATTAGTCCACTGATGTCCACAAAGAATTAAGTTTTCAAGTCTCAGAATTGCCTGATCTTGAAAACGTACCTTTTTGTACAGAATCAGAGAAATGTCCCATGACCGTGACTCATCGCTACTCCTCTGCAATGGACTGAAAACTTTTTCCTCAGTACATAAAAGGGTTCAGTTGATGAGATACGATATCAACCACACAAAGAAAAATGAATGAACAAAGATAAAAAAATGGGAATCAATTGATAATTGTTTTGTGCGTTTGCATCTCATCTCTGCCACAGTAGGAAAAAAAGTGAAATGCAGTGCGTCAATTCATTTCACTGCAAGTTCATGAGCGAGCGCATTCAGCGGTCAATATTACGCACTATTTATTCTTTCACAATGGGATAAGTTCATAATCAGGATTTCAGGAACTAGAGCAGGTAAGTCGACCAATCAGTTAGGTCAAAACATGGTGACAGCGCGGATCACGAAAACGCATTTCCTGCTGATCATGGTGGTTGTAGGTATGATAAAAGTACGCAACCGCAACTGCTCCTAAATATGTAGGTCGGTCAGGCGCCAAACCTAGGCATACCAGCCGGATCTGAGAGCACCTCAGCCCCAACAGATTACTGAAGAGGGCTCCCTACGCAGGCAAGCCCTGCATATTATTGCTTACCGGCTGGCTTGACCAGCTTCGCCCGGCCCTGTCAAAACACTATGATAAAAGTCTTATCCCTATCCCTGTACAATCTTTTCCTGTACCCACGTTTACATGCCAATCCACTATTCCCGCTGTGTTTAATCAGCATGCTCACTTTCCCCTGTGCCAACTTCCAGCCCCGTAGCTCAAACTTTGCGAGAAATTGATAGAATCGATGAAATTAACGGATAATTCTAAAATGCTCGGTTACACTGTGCTAACTCCCAACCCATTAGCTCAAACTTAAAGAAATCCAAAATCGATGAAAGTAACGGATTTTTGAAAATTAATACTGTATTCGTAATCAGCATGCTCAATTACCCCCCCCCCCCCCCGTGCCAACTCCCATTCCCGTAGGTCAAACTTGCATAAAATCGATATCGAAGGATGGCGAAAACTAGCCTATAACATCCGCCCCACCACAAATACGATGCATACAGCGGCATAATTAACTCATATAAACGTGTTAATCAAATGATGTATAGTCTCTCAGATCGTGCTACCCGGGTGTATGTCGAAAGGCGCGCGTTGCGGCGGGCTCCATTGCAGGACTGAACTCATACTCCATAAAAGCAAAGCTTTTCAGACGCTGAAAGCTTGTCCACATGTCAGAAAGTGTAGTGGAGGATCACAGTGGCGATCCCACGATTTCAAACCGGTGGGAGGGGATTTACAAAAATAAACAAGTCGTTTGTACATTTTTACAAATTTTTATAACCCATGTAGGTATCGACCTATTCTCGGGGGGTGGGGGGACCCTTGGTCTGCGTCTTATTGTTAGACCTGCCACGTGTGGCTAACATGTTGGCAACGTGGCAACATGTTAGCCACACTTTTTTTTCACTCGCTTTTGGTTCTGACTGTTTCTTTCCTGCACTGCAGTAACGTGCACAGGCTACCTTTGTAGGTTTTCCTAGCTCTCTCGTGTCTTTCCAGAGCTTCTCAACTCCGGGTGTACCTTTCTTCAGATAGCTTTTCTCAATTTTTATTACCTCCTCTAGTACCTCCAGTCAGGTTCTCTGAAGTCTTTTTGTTTCGAGTTGTTTCTGGCTGTTGCACTACACTGGCGGCAATACTAGTATCTGGGGCGTTGTGTTGTCTTCTTCCGCCACTCCGGTCTGTCATGGCGGGTTCGTGGGGAGGGGCGGGGGTTTCGGTGAGCGGCGGTACTGGCAGCCCCCTGCCAGTACACCCGTTTTGGCTTATCTGGCGGGGGCGCCAGTATAGCCGATCGCCGGGCCTCCGCTCCGTCCCCACGGCTTGAGATGCCTGATCGGGCTGACGGGCGAAGAGGGAATGTGCTGGTCAACGTTTCTTTCATGTATCTCTTTCCTCCAGGGAGTGCAAAGGTTAGACAAGATCTGGATGACTTATTCATTTCAATACGATTGTTCCTTTGCTGGTTTTTTTTTCTTTCTTTTCTGTGTTCTATTGATTTGTCGTTTGACACCCTGTTCTGATCTGATTTGTTGGATTGAAGCGCGCCTCCTGGCGTACATAAAATATACAAATAAGTATAAAATAAAATATATAATAAAATAAATATAATAAATAAAATATATAATAAAATATATAATATAATAATATAATAAATATAATAATAAACAAAATATACATATAAATAAAGAACATGTTTGCAACATGCCCCAACATGTTGGCAGAACATTTTGGCCACACCAACATGTTGTTGCATGTTGCCAACATGTTGCTGCCAACGTTGCCAATGTGTTAGTCACACGTGGCACGACCGCGACGCCACAAGGGTAGCACGATCTGTGGAGGAGACGATATTTGAAAATGAGACTCAGCGACTATGGATTCTATCAAGCAAATCTAGTTATAACGTACTACGAAGAAAGTAGGTCGATCCAGGCAATAACCACCGAGAACCAGAACTTCGAATGATAAAGGGCGAAAATTATGCTAATTCCACTGCTATAATCTGGTGGCCTTCTGGTGATTGAAGATATCAGCAACTGCGACTTCATAGGCACGTTCAAGCGTGAGGGTGTGGCATGCCGCACCTCGGGGGTCGTATTGAGGGGTCGGGAGGGGGGGGGGGGAGGTCGTTATCGAGGTGAGCTGACGTTAACGATAACATGATAATCGTTAACAATGTTAGATAGGCACTGTGTAAAGACTAGCACATTGATGTTTTGAACAAGATACGAGACGTAGTTAAAGCCAAAGTACCCTAAAGTCCGTACAATACCGGATTTATCTGCAGTTTCGACGCGAAAAATCGACGAAAAAATGCCCCCTGCGCCGCTAAAAGTCTACCAGATAAGTTCTCCTAAATCCACTATCAGATAAGTTCGCCTATCCTGAGCATGAGAAAGCGGACTCATCTGCAGGATTTTTGGCGGCGCGAGGGCGACTTTCGTTGTCAAGAGAGTGGACTTAACTGTTAGTTCTTGTGCGGACTTACCCGATAGGGCGGACTTATCTGATAGGCGGACTTATTGTACGGATTTTAGGGTAGTACACTTGTATCCAACAGTGTCGCGGCAAGACATTCGTTTAGTGTGTGACACGGATTCTTGAAGTTCTTTTGTACGGATACCGATTCTTTTCGTCAATTTGATTGCATCTGCTGAGCGAAGATCAACGTAGACGCAGAATGTGGAGCTGTCACTAGTGAATTTGCTTAGAAGCAGTGTCCGAACATTTTGAGATTTTGTGCCTAGTCGGGCTAATTCGCTATGGTAATCCTTAAATCTACTCTGGAGAGCGCAAATATGACGAAAAAGGGCTCCAAGGGTGATGTATCTAAATCATCGGGTGGGTGGGGTCTTCCCCACTGTGGATTCATGCTCCCAGCTTTCGGAGCTATCTTGCCGGTTTCGAAAACAAGTCACGCGTTCGCACTTGACCGGTGGCTAGGTCAGGGCGGCTAGCGGAATTGAGAAGATCGCTCCGAAGCCTAGAGCGTGATTTCACCATGGGAAAGACCCCGCCCACTTCTGATTTCCTTCCTGCGTTAGAGTTCTTTTCCGACTTTCTCGCTTTCTAATGTGGATTTTCGGATTCAGCATAGCGAATAGGCCCGGGTAAGCACAAAGTCTCAAGATCGACTTTTTGCCCGGACACTGCCTTCAAGCGCGTTTCAGTTAGAGAATGCTTTTCGAGTACTTGTATCCATGGAAGGGCAGTACCAACTTGCTCGTATGTGCCCACACTAAAATTTATGTATTAAATAGACTTGCAGCCGAAGGAGAACGAACAAGGTTTATTCAACTTTAAAAAGTTTGGAGTTTTTGTCGTTGGTTTCTCTGCAAGTTTTTCCATTTCGCTCTTATCGGAAAACGCTCTCTGCAAAAAAGTCCAATCCATTATTCACTGGGATATGCACCAAGAACCTGTAACTCTTCTTGTGGATAGCAAATTGTGCAGTTCTTGATTAGGGTGATGGCAAGCCTAAATACAATTTCAAAATTTGATAGTGAAACAGCGCGAGATAAACAAAAGTCCGCATGTGCGTAGTAGGCTGGTGCGGCATGCATGGGTGTCAATACGACTTGAATGTAAGGTAGGCTGAAAGTATGGAGAAAGATCTGCACATTTTTAATATTAATACTGAAGAGAATCTTAAGAGCTTAGCGGAAACTGACTAGGATAAGCGTAGGGGAAGGCCCATAAACAGACCTTTGCCGATGAACATTTTCTACAACAAATTCTTGTACGCAAAGATTACAAGTTAAAAAATAAGAAACTTTTGTTTTCAAATGTTACCCGTCTTTCAGTAAGGGCAAAAGCACTGTATTCCTCTTCGCTTTCTCTCCACAACAAGCACACAGTTTTGATTGGAAAATTCCCGAGCTATTCTGTAGTGTTTTTTCCACATGAAGGACTTTTGCTGCATATTTTCTACATTTCAGAACCCTGCAAAATCGTGATATTGTTAGCTGACGCGCAGTTTCTGTCATTTGCTTTGAAGGCACCATCCACCCTAAGTTGAGGGTCTTGAGCTTTTGACAGCATATAATAGTACGGCCCCCTAAAAACTAAAAACTAAAAACTAAAAAACTAAAAACTAAAAACTTGAAAAAAAACTAAAAAAACTTGAAAGTCGAAAATCTGGGTGGACGGTACCTTTAAAATGTGAATTCCATGTAAAACCGTACCATAACATGCTAAGAATAGCAGAATCTTGGAAGAAACAGAATGAGAATGCTGAATATGTTGCATTCAATTGACTACACTACAATTAAAATATCTTAAAATGAACCCACTATACAAACTTGTTGAACAATCATGTTTTGGAAACGCTGAGCTACTAAACTTTTACAAAATAGCGGCAAAATGTTCCTGTTCTAAAATGTTCTAGAAAAAAATTATTCTTAACATGGAAATACATGTTCGTTCTGCACAAACTGTAGCTCTGAAGCTCTTTCCATTTTCGCTGAACATGAAATTGGCACGATTGTGGCGTAGTTTGGCATAAAATTGAAAGTCAACAAAGTAGAGGATAGAGGAAGAATACTTACGACTATTTTCTTAGTAGCTTCTTCATAATCATGCAAAATTCTTGGCATGCTCTACATCTTGAAAAAATCGTTTGAGGTTGAGCCCCTGATATCTGGCTACCACATAGTTCAGTTTGTTTACCAACAACAGTGACCAGCGGATTTATAACGCCTTTGTCCGAGTTTAATAGCGATCGTAATAATGTGCCCATCAAATTTTGTTCCGATGCCTATATAAGATTTGGAAAACAACAAAATAAGCTCAAATGTTATTTTTAGTGCTCCTGACCATATTAGTCCATTACATATGTTCGTCTCCTTTGAGTGATGCTGAGGTAAAATACTTACATATCCATTTCAACGAGGACGCTATCAAATATTTTCAGGCTGAAAGAACGCTGATCTACCATGACAGCCCTGATACCTTTGAGAATCGCAAAATTGTGAAATTTCTACTGCAATCGCTTCGTAAGCGAAGTCGTAGAATACATCTTGGAAGAGGCATCACTCGTGAAAGGGTTTGTTTACAACATTTTGCAGTACATTTCTAGATTCTTCCTTTAGCCACCGGAAATGCCCGATCTTGGTCCGAAAAATAATATCTCTGCTCCATCAATCTCGGAAGCCAACAAAGATGTTGCTGATTGGATGTTTCAAGGAGATATCTTGCTTACTCCACTCCAAGCTAGCTTACTAGTCAGTGAGCAGGACAAAGAAGAAGGTTAGGCAAATGTGTTGTCGAAACACTACCATCAGATCTAGGGTTGTGACTCTAGGGTCATTTTAGGCTTTTCAGGGAACCATAGAGCTTGGAGTATAGAAAATACTGCCAAACAATAGTTTTAAACGAAACTCCTCGCTCGTCCGCAACTATGTGCACGAGATCTCGAAAATGAGAGTTGAGTCGGTGATGTAGTGACTATCGCCCAAAGAGTTCCAAGTTTTCAAAAGTGGAACTTAACTTGTTCATCGCTATAAAATGAGTATGAGAATAATTTATGAGCGTGAGTGCTTCTGGTTGAAGGTTGGCAAAAAATGTAGAGCAAATGATAGGCCTAGATGGCTTTGGTAAAAATAGCAAAATTGGCTTACTTTTAGAGAATCAGTCTGAAAATGGCACAGTCCGAGTCAAAAGAGCATGTGAAACAAATTCAGCTTTGTACTGGAGTCCAAAAGTCTACATTAATTATACCATAGATAGCTCTTTAGGTCAGTTTCTTCAAATGTCGTGCTGTACGCATGCTTTTGCGCTTGAACGAAAAATTTATTTTGCAAAGAGTTCTCAAGTTTCATATTTAAGCTACAACTACAGCTAGTCTCATTCGACAAGCAGTCCAGTTTTGGCAGTCCAATACTTGCTTAAATTTCAGGGTAGGTGTTAATTTTCGCTGCTCTCAAATCTTCAAAATAATAATTCTCTTCCAACCCAAATAGAATTCTTTTCAGGAAAACGCAAGTGGAAATCATCGTTTGCGATTTTATAAGGGCAGCGGTTGCTGGTCGTATATCGGAAAACAGACTTGGAGCAGTCAAGACATTTCTATTGGGAGCGGCTGCGAAACTGTAAAATTCAACTCTTTTTATTCAAAATGCACATGAAAATTCTTCCAGATGGGAATTGTAGCACACGAAATGGGACATGCTTTGGGATTTTACCATACACAGTCGCGTTACGATCGCGACGATTGGGTCCGAGTCTACCTCAACAATGTGGCCTCAAACCAGCAATATAATTTTGATAAGGTTATTATCAAAATTTTGTTACCTAGCACACATAAAAAGCTCTTGTAGATGACACCTGCGAGGGAAACTCACTTTGGACAAGCTTATGATTACGGTAGCGTCATGCAGTATGGCCCATGTAAGTATACATCTGATGCATAATTTCTTGTGAAATAGGATGTGGTGTTTATTTGAGAAGTGGCAAGCAGCCTTAATCCGCGTATATTTTCAGATGCATTTGCTATCGATTACAATCAGTACACCCTGACAGCAGTAAAAACTGAGTATCAAAACGCTATGGGACAACGAGAAGCTCCCGCTTTTTCAGATATTCGAATGATGAATTGGCTCTACAATTGCTCGAGTGGGTGTTTCATAGGTTTCTACCCATAACAACATTTCAATAACGTAAAAAGAGAAAATATCGGGAGGAAATCTATTGAATCTCAGGCGAAAATCTGTTCGATTTTCTACGGGTAAGAAATGGGTCTAGATGAATTTAGGAAAAGAGCGGTTAATTGAAGACAAGATTTGATAAGGATCACAAGTTCAGGTTATTGCGTCAACACACCCGTGCCTCCTTGCCGTAAACCCGGATATGCGGATCCAAGAAATTGCGGTACCTGTAAATGCCCTCGTGTCTTCAGTGGACAGTATTGTCAGAACCTTCCAACTGGTACAGCAGCAAACTGTAATGGAGCTGTTGTACAGGTCTTGTCTTTCAAAAATGTTCAAGCTTCCAAAGCAGCTTTTCTAGGCCACCTCCACATCATGGGCGACATTGCGTGGCGTTGCTGGCACTGCAAATAGTTACACTACTACGTCTACAAAAGACTGTTACTGGCATATTCAGGTGCCTATTTATTTCTCTGTGAATTATGTAGGAAAAGTGTTGTTGTAAAAGCTAAATATAGCTAAGAGGGGCAATACATAGTCGGTAACAAATTTTTAGAGCCGGAATATCTGTTGAACAGCATCTGAATGCAAACCAAGTTTTGCACGTGTCAGAGATTTTTTGTGTGCGCATCGAAGGCTGTACTCTATTATTTATTGCTCAAACTGAATTGGACGAAAGAATAAATGAACTCTCTAGGATAAAATGTCTAATCTCAAGCCTTAGTGTGCTAGGTATAAGTTTTAGTCTGATTGTGAGCAACTCACATCTTACAATTAGATGCATTAGATCCTAGCAAAGCAAATAGTACCGAACCTTGCAATTAGTAGATTCCAGTGGCGGTCCCAGGATTTCAGTCCGGGGAGGGGGGGGGGAAGCGCGAAAAAGCAACCCGAAAATTTTTTGGGGGTTCTTTAGAATTTTTCGGGCCCAAGACCCCCAAAATCCAGAAAAAGGGGGCGTGGCGTCATCCACGCCCCCGAAAAATTTTTTTACAAGACTGATTTGAATTTTCAAAAAATTTAAATTATTATAATTATTTATAAAAATAAGTCATTTGCACATTTTTATAACCCATGTAGGTAAGTTTCGAAAATTTCGCGACCCATTCTTGGGGGGCGCCCCCTCCCGCCCCCCCCCCCCCTCCTCGGTCCGCCTCTGGTAGATTCGTATTCTTCTGTTTGCTGTAGACAAAATCAACAAGTTAAGTCCCACTTCTACTTTTTCCTGCAAAGTCCCTTATTTATAAGGGGTTTTTGTAGATGTGTATTTTTCCTCGGCTTTGTTAAGGCACCGACAGGACGTCAAATTCAAATCCGTTTGAGTACTGCACCAAGTAACTGCATGGAACAATGCCCGTGGCAGTCTATAGAGATCAATCTCGGCCAGTTTGAGCTCTACGGAATGATGTGAGATTTTACAATTTTTATATAGGTTTCATGCAAAAGAATCCTTTGCAGAATGTGCTGTCAGTCCGCAGTGGGGAAAACATACACTTCTGTGAGTAACTTGGTGACCATTCGAGGGGCGGTCCGTTACAATCAGCTGAATTTTGGCCTCGACTATCGCCTTGTATAATAACATATCTAGCTTTTATTTGCTTTAGGAAGCTAGTGAGGTAGTTGTGAACTTGTTGTCGTTTTAAGAACAGTCATTCATCTTAGTTGCTCTCATAAGCTGTAAGAATGAATGAGAAACTGTTTTTGTGCGTGTACAGTGTTTTATTCTGAGGAAAAAAGCAAAGTTTGTGAATGAATTCGTAAATCATTCAAGAAAGTGCGGTCGCTGCCAGCGTGAAAATACATTACGTGCACGATGATACACCGAGGCCTCACCGTCGTAACCTTCCACTTAGATTTCCTCTGGAAAAAATTTTGTGTGAACATTCAATATCCACATCTCCGTCCAATGTGATAGGCGCGAAAATGAAGAAAGCTATTAATAGGGACTTATGAAGGCAATGTCGGTTTCGCTTTACAAGCAGGCCGTTTTTCAGTTCCTGCATAATGGCAGATGTGCGCTTACTCGAAGACCCCGAAGGGGAGCGGAACTTAGAGGCAGCGTCTCTGCAAAATTTCGCTCCCCAGTTGCCCGCCTTGAGCCTTATATCTGGCCGAGTCCGTCTCTGGCCTTTGCACGGCATAAGAACGCGAAAAGGGCCTTTTTTGGCGTTTTTCTAGGCCGCCTTCGCTGGAATATTACGTGTGTAAGTAGGTGGGGTCCGGAACGAGGGGGTGGGTCAAAGGATTTGGAGTGGATTATAGGCCTTCCATATGCGCTTTTTTGCTGCAGCTTCAGTGATAGATCAATAGGGAGAAGCGGTTATTGCAACTTTGGAAAACCCCAGTACCCTTCACCTTGCCGAGACGCTGCCTTTAAGAGACTGATTGGGGCTCAACTCAGTTCGCTACCAAACATACTGCTGGCCATTGTATAATAGAATAACTTTCAATCCAGAATACTTCCAGGAAGTTTAGAATTTACGTAACTGGGTGTAGGCTTACGCTGATATGGACAATACACACTTAGGCTGCGAAATAATAGGACAGTAGACCAAGTTTGTTCTGTGATAATTTCTCAGTGTTAGTTAGCGATCGAAGCTCCGCCATCCACCGGCCACTCTCAATGAAACAGAGTGTGCCTTGCGAAATTTTGATTGAGAATTCATGTGGTGAACGCACGAGTTTTCCATTGCAAACCGCAGCTGTATCTGAGCCAGTGACGGAGATTTCTATTGATCCACTTTCTGGAACAATTTGCTCCCAATTATGCAAAACTCTGCTGAAAATTCTTGGCATATTTCTACAGTGGAGGAATCTAAGTTGCTTTAAAAAATCTTCTACGCGTTATGAATGAACGATCGATATGAAACTATATCATCGTATGTCATCATCGTACACAGGGTGTCCCAAAAGTATGTATACACTGTTTAATCGTTAATATCTTTCTTCCCAGGGAGTCTTTTACCTACCATTTCGTAGAGCTGGCTTCAACTACGATTTACGGTATAAAGCGAACCACCGATCGCTCTCCTGTACCATAGGATTGTGGTAAGAACTTTTGGCCTACAGCATCATTGTGGATTAGCCGTGTTGCAAAAAAGGTTCCAAAATCTGAAAATTGGTGTACCAGGGATCTTACGCGCACTGATTTCGTTAGTCAACTTTCTAAAAGTTTGTAAAGCTTTTTAAAGGTTGTTAATTCTAAGAAGCATCGTAAAAACAGCTATTACGGTTTAGGGGGCATAAGTCATGAAGGAAGCATCGGGGTCGAATGCAAAGTTCATATTTAGTTTCAGCGACTTTACTTAGCCTAGTGTAAGAATTTTCAAAGTTTTCTTTTTTCTTTTTCTTTCCTTTTCAAGTTTTCAGTTTTCAGTTTTCTTCCGCTCCGGAGGTATACATTCGATTGTCTGAGCTAAACTGCGCCGCAAAAGACTGCTTGCGGAGCGAAAAATCTGGAAGGAACGTTTTTGAGAGTGGTTTTTTTTTCGTTTTTGAGACGGGGATTTTTGGGGATATCGGGAGTTCTCAACTCAATATTCGAGATCACGGGCTTCAGTAGGCCTGAAAGCGAAAAAAAAACATGGAAGTCGAAAATTTGGGCAGGCAGTGCCTTTAAGATGCACTCACTACATAAACTTGTTGAGCAATGATGTTTTGGAAGCGAGCTACCAAACTTACGATCACAAAAAAGAGGCAAAATGTTCTAATCAAAACAAACTTTCCCAAAACGAAACTATTGAGTTGTTGCAAAAGTTCTTTTGCAACAACTCAATAGTTCACCCGTTTTCGAACTTTGACTTTAAATCATCGTAACTCTCCTCAGAAATAATCTTTGCAATTGCTTCAAACTGTATTAAATCTGCAAATTTTTGGCTATTCTGCGCACTTGGAGCCCATAGTTGACTGAGCAGTACCGCTAACTTTGGATTTCATCAAACTCTTTTTTAAAAATTTTGTGCTGAAAAATCCGAAAAGACCCACTTATTTTGCTCTTTCTGAATCGGCAAAATATGCAATTTTTTGATATTTTCAATTTTGTTCGCGATTGACAAACAAGGAAATCTCTTCATTTTTCTAGAAGCAGTTGTTTTAGCTCTAATCTTACTTTCTAGAGTAAAAGTTCCGCGACTGCAGTATGCTTATGATTTTTATGCGACTTGACGGGACCATATAGATCGGTTATGTTTGAGCCAAAAATTTGTAGGTTGAAAATTTTTCTGATCATATCTCGATGAGCGTTTCGTAGCACAATTCTCCAGCAAACATTATGTATGTTTTAAAAGAAATTTTTTCCTTTGGCTGTAGATTTCACGGCGATAGAGCAAAGACGAAAATTTTCACATTTGTTTCGCTGTCTTTTCAAAGTACGCAACCACATAGCGAACAAAGATCTATGAAAACGAAAATATGCTTGAAAAACCAGAAGAAAAGAGCTTTTGAATGATATAATTACTGGTTATGAAAAATGGTTTCTTCCTCCAAAATCGGCAGTTAAAAATAGGTATCGAAAACGGGTAGAACTTTTAAAACAACCCAATACATATTCTTTTTGAAGAAATAGTAGCTGTAGAGCTTTTTTCGTTTCCGTTTAACATAAGGATCAATTGTAAGAGACCGTGGCCACAGTTTTGCTCAAGATTGAGAGCTAACAAAGTAGATGAACAATACTCATGATGAATGGGCAGTAGGTTTTCTTCAGAATCATTAAGATCCTTGGCAAGATATGGAAGTTTGCAAAAAATCGCTTCGAGTTATGCTCTGAATCAGGGCATAACTCGAAGCGATTTTCTGGCACGGAGCAAGCTGGATATCGTTTTTGGCGCAAAAAGCAAAGGGGACATCGTTTTTGCCGACAAATTGCGACGTTTTCTTTAGTCGACGTTCCTTTTTTGGGGGTTTTTTAGGTTTAGGGTTTAGGATCAAGGGGGACTTCGTCCTGAAATTTTCCTAGTGCCAGCTCGTGCCGAACCCTGCTCCTGATATCTGGCTAGTTCACTTTGTTTACCAACAACAGTGACCAGCAGCCTTTGTCCGAATTTAATCGCGATTGTGTTTATCAACTTTTGGTCCGATGACTATATAAGATCTAAAAAACAACAAAATATGCTGAAATGTTATTTTTAGTGCTCCTGACCATACTAGTTCATCATATATCTTCGTCTCCTCTGACGGATGCTGGGGTGAGACTTACTATCCATTTCAGTTAATACAATAACAAACATACCAACATTTTCAGGCTGAAAAAACATTAATTTACCATGACAGCCCAGACACTTTTGAGAATCGCAAAATTGTGAAATTTCTACTGCAATCGCTCCGTAAGCGAAGTCGTAGAATACATCTTGGACGAGGCATCACTCGTGAAAGGGTTTGTTTACAATATTTTGCAGCAAAATTCTAGATTCTTCTTTTAGCCACCGGAAATGCCCGATCTGGGTCCGAAGAATAACATCTCTGCTCCATCAATCTCGGAAGCCAAAAGATGTTGCCGATTGGATGTTTCAAGGAGATATCTTGCTTACTCCGCTCCAGGCTCGCTTACTAGTCAGTGAGCAGGACAAAGAAGAAGGTTAGGCAAGTTTGGTATCGAACCACTATCATCAGACTTACAGTTGTGACTCAAATGTCAATTTTAGGTTTCTCAAAAAACATAGGGCCTTGGAATAATAGAAAATACTGCCAAACAAAGATTTTTGAAACATGAAATTTTTTTTTGTTCGTCCGTAATTGTGTGCACGACATACAAAAATTAGACCTGAATCAGTGGTATAGTGACTATTGTCCAAAGAGATTTTCCAAGTTTTTGAAAATGAAAATTTTTAATCTGTTTATCGCTATAAAGGGAGTATAAGATTAATTTATCATCGTGAGTGCTTTTGGTAAAATGTTGTTGAGAAATGAAGAGCAATTGATAGATTTGGATTGCTTTGAAAATAAGTAGCAAAATTGGCTTACCTTTAGAGAATCAGTCTGGAAACGGCACAGTCCGTGTCAGGAGATCATGTGAAACGAATTCAGCTTTGTACAGGAGTCCAAAAGTCTACATTAATTATACCATAGATAGCTCTTAGGTCAGTTTCTTCAAGTTTCTTGCTGTACCACGGATTTTGCGCTAGCTCCAAAATATTATTTTGCAAACCGTTTCTCAATGATCGCATATTTTAGCTACAACTACAGCTAGTCTCATTCGACAAGCAATCCAGTTTTGGCAGTCCAATACATGCTTGAATTTTAGGGTAAGTCTTAATTCTCGCTGCTCTCAATTCTTCGAAATAATGAGTTTTTCTATATTCAAATATAATTCTTCTCAGGAAAACGCGAGTGGAAATCATCGTTTGCGATTTTACAAGGGCAGCGGTTGCTGGTCGTATATCGGAAAACAAACTTGGAGCAGTCAGGACATTTCTATTGGGAGCGGTTGCGAAAAAATTCAAATTTTTTATTCAAAATGCACAGGAAAAATTCTTTCAGTTGGGAATCGTAGCACATGAAATGGGACATGCATTGGGGTTTTACCACACACAGTCGCGTTACGATCGCGGCGATTGGGTCCGAGTCTCCCTCGATAATGTGGCCTCAAATGTGCAATATGCTTTTAGAAAGGTTACTGTCAAGACTTCGTTGCCTAGCCAATACATAAAAAGCTCTCGTAGACATTTATTTATTTACGTAAACAGTCGATTCCAAAAAAGATCACACAACATAAGTACAGTTTGGACTCAAACAATCGACATAAAAAATCTTGCTGCCTTTTGAAAAGTAATGTGCATCCCATTGTTTAAATGCCAGCGAGCTTGCGGGCAAAAGCTAGCTGACTTAGCCCTCAAAAAAGAATCTCTTTTCAAATAAGCGGAAGGATCAGGACAATAAGGAAAATGATTCGCCATAAACAAGATTTTTTGTGCAAAAAAAGACATAAATTATCAATAAAAAATACACAGAGGAGAAGAATACATAGAAGATAAAAAAAAGGTACAGAGGTGCTGAATGGTAATTTTGGCGTTTTGAAATAGCTGGTCGAAGATCAGTAATAGTGATCCAATAAGGCGTTTTTTACACCGTTCTGTAAAAAATGTTGTTAGAAGAATCCTTTAGATTTCAAGGTTTTTTGAACTTCTCTGTTAAACACAAATGTCGATGAAGCTTTAATCGCCGTTACTGGAAGCTTGTTCCATGTGTTGATTATGCGTATCGGAAAAGAGTCATGAAATTGCTGTGTTTGCACCTTTCCTATGATAAACCTGAAGTCATGTCCTCTAGTTATAGCATTAAAGTTGGATAATACGAAAAAATCGTGCATCGTGAGATAGATTCTTTTAGTCATAATCTTGTAGACGAGATTTTGATCATAAATTGTTCTTCTGAGTCTCAAAGAGGTAGTGGTAAGTATAGAAAGTCTTGATTTGTATGACACATGGAAATGCCCAGCTCTTGCAAATATTCGTGCAGTTAATGACTTCTGCACTCTTTCTAAGGCGTCAATTGCATTTTTCTTAGTTGGAGACCACAAAGGTGTACAGTATTCTAGCATAGGACGGACGTAAATGACAAAAAGCTTGAAGAGAGTTTGGATTTTCGTCGTTCTAAAGGCACGTAATATGTAGTTACATCGAGCATGGGCATTTCTTGTAATTTCATTTATATAGTCGTCAAAATTGAGGTTGTCAGAATAGGTAATGCCAAGGTCTTTTATGGAGTTTGTCACTCGAATCTTTTGACCTCCTATGTAATAAGTGCACGGTCGTGGATGTTTAGCTCCAATAAGCATGATATGTGTTTTCTCGACTGAAATGTCAAGGTCCCACTTCTCAGACCATTCTACCACCGCATCTAAAGCTTTTTGCATCAGCCGAGGGGAATTGCAGCAGTATAGTTTGGTATCATCTGCATAAATAGAACAGGTGACACCATCAGGAAGAGCTAATGGTAGATCATTTATGTATAGCAAAAACATGAGAGGCCCTAAGCAGGTCCCCTGAGGAACTCCGCTGCTTGTTTGATACGTAGAAGACAAGGATTCATTGACTATGACTTGTTGAGTACGATTTGATAGAAAAGATTGGAGAAATTTCAGAAGACAACCTTTCACTCCATATGCATTGAGTTTGTTGAAAAGTAGTTCTAAATTTACTGAATCAAAAGCTTTCTTGTAATAATAGATAGCATACGGTAATGAATCCTTTTTCATTCATTATCTTATGCCATATTGATATAGTGGACATGAGAGCAATCCATGTTGTGCTGCATTTATGAGTTGGTTATTTCCGAGATATTTGCAAATTTGTTTGCAAATTATTCTCTCAAACACTTTGCTAACTGAAGAAGTTAGGCAGATGGGCCTATAGTTCTTGGGTTGCGATCTGTTGCCTTTTTGAAGATCGGTTTCACGATCGCTGTACGCCAAAGTGCTGGGGTTTCCCCGTGGAGTAAGAATCTTTGGAAAAGAAGGCTGAGGGCAGAAGAAATGCCAAGCGCTGCTTTTCTCAGAAATATGTAGGGAAGTCCATCAGGTGACGTAGATCTTCTAAGAGGTAATTTTTTCAAAATTTGGTAAACAATGTCACCAGTGATATCCAAAAAATCAATTTTTTCATTTGTAAACTGTGGACATTGGGTTTTAACATTTGTAGGTTTTTTGTAAACATTCTTAAAAAATACGGCGAATGCTTCAGCTTTTTCTTTATCTGATTTACATATGTTACCTAATGAATCATAGATAGTTCCAATATTGTTTGTCACCTTTAGGTTTTGATTACAAAAGCGAAAGAAATTCTTGATATTACGGCTACGTGCAATGGCATCTTCCTCAGAAAGCCTGCATTGGGCCAACTCGCGTTTGAGCTTTCTATAAAATCTTTGATACTTTTTAATTCCGGTTCTATGTCTGGTTTGATACAATCTGGAAACTTTGGCTTCTAACATTTGGATCTTTTTAGGATATGCAAATGGTGTTTTTGGTCAATCTTAATTTTGGGTACAAACTTATTTATCAATGCTTGGCAATGAGTAACAAATGATTGATAACACTGTTCTGCTGAGGTTGTGTTCAGTATAGCATTACGCCAGTTTACTCTCAGCAAATCAGCGTTTATTTCATTGTAATCTGCATGGAGAAAGTCAGGCAAATATTTTGGCGATGCACCACTTAAATGATGTTTGCTTAGCTGAAATGAGATGGAAGAATGGTCTGATGTAGAAAACGGTGGATGAAATTTCAGTTTCTTAATCATTTTGTCATTGTTTGTGAAAATGAGATCTAGCATATGTACATCATGAGTGGGAACATTCACAAGCTGGCGTAAGTTATAAGTCTCCACTAGCTGCCGTAGTCTCATAGAAGAAGAGTCATGTTTTTGAAATGTTGATATGACATTGGACCAGTCACAGTATGGGAAATTAAAGGCCCGTAGTAAACCCCCCATCCGGGCATCTCTCTCGACGCGGACCGAGTTGAGGTCATCGCGCTTCAGTCCAGCATCCAGTGAGCTATTGATTTGAATGTGGATGGCTTCCTAGACATGATAACCACATGCGTTCTCAAAAAACCAACCACTTGAGCTGGTCTGGTCAAACGGATAAGCGATTGGAATCACACGCGCGAGGTCGTGGTTCGACACCGGCTAGCGCCACAACTTTTGCTGCATCGCCGGACAATCTTTGATAGCGGCCATTGTCGAAAAAAATCGATGATGACCGCTAACACGGATATCACTTAGCAAATGGACAGATAAAACAAAACTGACATATTTTGAAGGAGAATTCATGAAAAACTGAAATTTTTGGAACATAAATAAAACATAATAAATAAGTAGATTCTCTTCTAAAGTAGTTTCTACAAGAAACTAAGATTGCTCTGCAAAAAAAAGAAGAAAACTTTTATTCTTGCTTTTGTCGCCAAAATCAGCTGTTCATCGATCCTTCCCTTTTCGGGCACCGGTATTGTGCAGTTTTGCGCCGATTTTTTCTGCAATTTTTGGCAAAGTTGTGTGTATCGTAAGTTACTCAGGAGCAACTTATGTTAGATGCAGTCACCTCTTCTCTGCGTCTCCTCTTCTACACACTATTTGGATCACTCTAACATCCGTTCACGTTGAGGTGACTTGAACGTGAACTGATGTGGAAGAGTTGACGCGGCAAGTGGACAGATGGTCAACTATCAGTTGACTTGACCATCTTATAGCATGGGAACGTGGACGGTGATCAGTTCACCTCACCTGAGGTGAACTGATGGGATAAGTTGAGTTCACCTCAACTGATCGAGCTTTACTACGGGCCAAAGTCTCCTAAGATGATACAATCTTGGTTTCTGTCAAGGATTTCAAAGAATAGTAATGCTTCTTCAAACGAGGCATTATTGCATGAAGGACTTCTATACGTTAATATCAAATTTGTGCATGTCATAGTATTTGTGAGGCAAAGACAGAGGCTTTGACAGTAAGGAGAAAAATTCTGAGTAGAGATTAGGTGATGCTCAATGTCTTTACGCACAAGAGCAAGAACGCCTCCTCCATGAGTACTGCCTTCTCTATCACATCTATAAATTTCATACTGG